CATGACCTTTGGCGTCTCTTGGGGACTTAAAATCATCTGGACTAACTACTCCATCAGCCCGGTAGTATCTAGCCTCCAATTATTTTTCTGAAAGGGATTACATCATTGTTAATATACCAATCAGGATTTAGTAAATGACATATATATGAGGATGTGTACGCTATGGCAAGGTTATGCGCAGTTATGTTTACTTGTTGCAAGTGAAATTGGAAGACTTTTGGCAAGTGCCTTTTCATTTTGCTGGAAGTGGACCAAATCCTCTGTCATTAAAACTTTTAGATTCTGGCCAAATCCCTGTGTCAAGTATCCCAACAACAATATCGCTTTCAATAACTGATCTTTCCACTTTTCTGCTCGAAAAGCCCATGAAGTTCCATGACCTTGTTGTGTGAAGCTGCTTCTTTTGACTTAGGAACACAGACACAACCCCTTCCTTTCCTGGAAAATAATTAAGTCCATGGTTACGAACAAAAATAATAATTTCTTAAAGAATTATCTCATAGTCAAACACCTCTCAGTTTTTGTGCCTCCTTCTTGGTCAACTTGGCTGCAAATCCATTGAAGCTCCTGCAGTAGCTGTAGAGCAAAGCATCTGATGCAGCGCTGTTGAATGCAAATCATAGATAAAGTTAGAAGTCTTTGGTAAATCAAAATTGGACAGAAGCTTACCATTCAAATGCTAGAATAATGAATGACAAACCTGGGAACAACATGTTGAAGCATGTTAGTGTGAAGCATTGAAGCCGAGAAGTCACCCTTTGGAAGGTCACCCATGTAAACAATGTAGACCTGGTTCAACAAAACAATTTGTAAATCAACCAAATCAGCTCAGATTTCATGACAGGGAACACAACTCTAGCCGTCCTTTTAATACAAAGTTGAAGTGCATCAAAAAAACTGAAAAAACAAGCCAATAGAAAAAATGTATTTGCCTGTCTATCATCAGAGGCTCCATGGCAGCCAACAAGCATACTACTAGTGAAACAAATAACCATAAGCCATGCCAAAGGAGAAGTCTGGACCGCCATTGTCGAGTTCTGTATCTAGATATTGCAATAACCCATAGCACTAAAAGGGGCTATATATAATTATTGATTTCATTGTACAATGAATAAGCTTCATGGCATTAATTTCTATGAGTAAAATAAATGTTAGTATATTTTCAAAATAAAAAATTATCTCTTCATATAAAAGTTGTAAAGGAAAAATTATATTTTTTCATTCAAAAAGTTGCGACTATTCAATAGTCATATCAATTAAAAAGTTATATTACATATTGTGTCATAGTGTGATTATTAAATTATATGTATTTTTTCATTTGACAAGTTATGTCTTTTGATATAATGATATTTGGAAAAACATCTCTAAATTCAAAGGTTATGAGATAATTGAAAAACATTACCATTAAAAAGTTTTGATATGAAAAGTTATCGTTTCCTATAATAATTAGAATGTTATATCTTATGTAATGAATATAGTTGTCATTTCATAACGTAATTGCTAAAATAATATTTTTATCCAAATCTTGTTACAGAGAATATAGAAGTGATAACTAGGTAGTAACTTTGATGAGAATTACTTTTCCACTTTTCTTGATCAACAAATAGATTCAGTACACAAATTTAGAATAATATTACTCTTTGCATTCTCTCTCATTTTATTTCTCCATGTCCATACATGAAACACAATTGCATGATTGCAGGTAAGATTCACTATTTTTTTTTTATTTTTTTGAGGAGTAAGATTCTTTAATTATTTAGATGAAATTGAAGGAGTGAATACAGCAAATGATTAAACAGATGGTTAAATTTATTTTCTTCCTTGGGATGTTGTTCATTCGATTAAGGAAGCATAAGCAACAATGGGGCTCCTCACTTGATGCAGGCCATCATCCCAGGTCAAAGAACCTGAAATCATGGAGTTTCCAACTCCAGCTCCAACAGTCACAACAAAGGATTGCTTTTGCCCAAGAGACTTGAAAGAAAGAACACTTGGTTGAACTTGGATTATAAGCCCTGGTGGAGCCTGGACGACTGCCTTGTAAGTTGACACAGCTGATCCAACATTTGTTACTGTCCTGTGAAAGACTCTGCTGATGGATTTTCCAGGAGTAGCAGATAAGGCAAAGGAAGGGTAGTTTAGATCCCACACTGTTCCATTTGTTTCTTCAGAACAATTGCTGTTATTCCCAGTTATAAGCTGTAGATATGTAGGGCTATATCCTTGTCCACACAAAAATTTAATGTAATCAATCTCCCCAGCATCGTAAATCAATCCAGGTTGAGCTGCTAATGCAGGATTTATGTGACCTGCCCCGAATGCAAACTCACCTTCGATGTTGTTCTCAGCACTCATTTGAAAAGCTGTAAAAGAATATGGAAATTCAATGGATTAGAATTGGAATGTAAGAATTCAAGAAATTATGAGAAAATTTCAAGATGCAAGTCTTGATCTTGCATAAGCACTAGTACCTGTTGTCATTAGAGCAGACTTAATGGCAGCAGGAGACCATGTTGGATGAAATGACTTGACATAAGCAGCCGCCCCGGTTGCATGTGGGCAGGACATGGATGTGCCAGAGATTATATTGTATGGAACTATTCTGTTATCATATTCACTTTCTGTCACATGGGCAGCTTCTGACCATGCAGCTAAAATGTCAACCCCAGGTGCTGTAAGATCAGGCTTTATCAACAAAGAAACGAAACAATTAGAACTGAGAAAGAGGATAAGGCAATTACAAACAGAAGATGGAGAAAATTTATTTCAATTTACCTTGAGAATGTCTGCTGTAATCGGATTAGGTCCTCTTGATGAAAATGAAACAACGTATGGGGCGAACTCATTACTTTCAACGTCAGACTTGAATACTGTTGCAGTTGGGTTTCTGTTCAAACATGACATTCATGAAACCAAATGAATGATGTTTAATCGAACTAATTAAAAGTTAATTTCGGTACAGATATTAGTAAATACTCTGTTGTGTTCACGTAGTTGAAAACAACTCTTCCATCATCCAAGTTCAAGTTGGAAAGAGGTAGAGGGTAACTGAAGACATAATCTTTGTTTCCTCCATACTGGTATATCGCACCAACAGCTCCTCCTTCGATTGGACCATCTCCATCACTGTAATAGTCACAGAAAACGATTTTTCCTTTCACTAAGGTTTCGTTCAATGTTCCTGGCAAGCAATACCTGCATTCGAAAACAAATATGTGGCATCAAGATATAAGTCAGGTATAACTCTATGATCCTGGCAAGCAATACGTGCATTCGAAAACAAATTTCTGCAGTCTTCATACCCTACCTAGAATCCTCAGAAGTAAAACCTCGTGAGGTATTTGGAGCAACTCCACCAAAGATGAAAGGGTACATTTTCTCCTTGAGATCAAATGTGTTGATTGAGGTTCCCTACAGGTACAAAATTATAGGTATAATAATCACATAAATACATTACTGGTCAATTTAAGAGTTGGAAAATGAGCAGCAGATATGGACCTGCTTACCTCATAAATCTCACCATTACCCAGCTTCACCTTAGTCACAAACTTTCTATCTATGGTACTGGCAGCCACTGAAAGAGACCAAGGTGAAAAGTTCACAATTGATGCAGGATAAGGACCACTATTGCCAGCAGAGTTGGATGTTAGGACCCCATTCTTCATCGAATGGAAAGCTCCAATAGCAATTGAATCATCAAAATAATCAGCTGGAAAGGAACTCCCTACTGAAAGAGAGATTATGTCAACACCATCGGCTATTGCATCATCGAATGCTGCGAGAATGTCTACATCATAGCAACCATCAGACCAACAAATCTTGTACACAGCAATGCGGGCAGATGGAACCGCTCCGCGAACGGTCCCTTTGGCAAGGCCATATAAGCTTGCCTTGCTAACTAAGCCACCCGCAGCTGTTGATGCAGTATGACTCCCATGACCTTCGGAGTCTCTTGGAGAAATAAAATCACCTGGACTAAAATCTCCATTAGCCCGGTAGTATTTAGCTCCAATTACTTTTCTGAAAAGAGATTACAACATTGTCAAGACCAATTACAGGGTTTAATAAGTGATTGTTCATGTATGTCAAGGTTATGTTGAATTCCATTTACTTGTTGCAAGTGAAATTGGAAGACTTTTCGCAGGTGCCCTTCCATTTTGCTGGTATTGGACCAAATCCTGTGTCATTAAAACTTTCAGATTCTGGCCAAATCCCAGTGTCAAGCATCCCAACAATGATATCGCTCTCAATAACTGATCTTTTCACTTTTTTTGAAAATCCCATGAAGTCCCATGACCTTGATGTGTGGAGCTCCTTCTTTTGACTAAGGAACACTGACACAACTCCTTCCTTTCCTGTCGATAACAAACAAAAATTAAACCAACAGTTACTAACAAAATGAAGGAGAAATGGAAGTTTTTTCAGGATTTTAACCAAAAAGATAACAATCTAAAACCTCTCAGTTTCTCAGCCTCCTCCTTGGTCAACTTGGCTGCAAATCCATTGAAGCTCCTATGATAGCTGTACAGCAAAACGTCTGATGCAGCAGTACTGTTGAATGCAAGTCATCGTAAATAAAGTTAGAAGTCTTGGTAAATATCCAAATTTTGCCTTAATTTGCCATTCAAACACTAGAGTAATTGTTGAATGACAAACCTAGGAACGACATCTTGAAGCATGCTGGTGTGAAGGCTTGCAACAGAGAAGTCACCCTTTGGGATATCACCCATGTAGACAATGTAGACCTGCTTCCAACAAGACAATAAACATATCAAAATCAATTCTACAATTCTAAATAAACCAAAACCACCCATGTTTCATGCATGGCAGAAAACACAATGCCGGCCCTTTAACAAAGAGTACGAAATCAAAAAGCAAGCCCAAGGAAAAAAAATTGTTTGCCTGTCTATCATCAGAGGCCCCATGGCAGCAGACAAGCAAGCCAAGAGTGAAACAGAAAAGCATAAGCCATGTCAAGGGAGAAGTCTGGACTGCCATTGTCGAGTTCTGTAGCTTGCTTTTGCAGATAGCCATTGCCCAGGGGAGGGGACTTTATATAAGTTTTGAGTGTATTGAATCAATTAATTCTGAAACAACTAAGCATTGTTAAGATCGCCAATGGAACAAAGGTGTTCATTGCCGGCTTTTACAAATTAATATGATCTTGCCAGTAGTACGTTAAAAGTGTTGATTACAAGAAAAAAATTGTCACTGTTCGATTCATCACATATATTTGGCATATTTGGACCGTCGTATGTCTTGGCTTAAGCAATTTAGCAAAGTAATAAATGAATATATACTCTCACACTGACTTCATAAAATACATATTTTCTAAAATTCATACTATATATCAATTTGATATCTTCAAAAATTTTATCAGAACACACACATTTTGTGAAACTAATTATTTTATGAACTCTCTAAAAATGAATCGATCTACAATTTATTTTTTTTTGCATAGTGGTATCGTTGTGAGGCGATTTCAATTTCTTTGCTTCATTTAGTGTTGATTGTGTTGTTACAGTTTTCTTATTCTGGTGTGTAATTATAAGTTTCAATAGGATCTTTTTTCTAAAATCAGATTATTGTATTGATCATTAATACTCAATAAAATTTTTATTTGAACAAGCAAATATATATATAATTGTCTAGAATTTGGAATATACTTTATACTCAATCAAAATTTAATTTTTATAAGAAATTAATCTATTTAATTTAATATTATTAAAAATCATAAATTGTATATATTATTAATATTATTTTTTATAGGAAATAGAGAAAAAAAATTGTTCTTCTTTAATTGCACCAAGTTTTTTTTTTTTGAACAATTAATTGCACCAAGTTATGCATTCAGCTGCTTACATTCAAAGCTAATAATTGGAACTATAATAAGCAATACAATCAAAATCTTATTATAGATTATAATTGAAAATTATAATAAAAATAAATTATTCCGAGGGACAATTGAGAAATATCATAAGCAAACCGTATGTTGTTGGTGTTAGGAGGTGGCTGAAACTTGTGACCATATTCTCTCTTCTTCTAGATGAACGGTTATCTGTGGTGCAGGCTTTTGGTCGTTATGGCTTATTTGGAATGATTCCATTTTTAATGGCATAAAGTGAGATGGCAATAAAATTATTTTTTATATTAAAATGAGATCAATGCTATAGGTAAAGACAATTGAAGGGGAGGAATGTGTAAAGGAGAATATAATGGGTGGTGGGTTAAGCCATGGAAAACGTGTACAGCCAGAATACAGTTTAATAGTTTGGGATGAAGCTCACATAATCACTGTTTTGAAGCTTTAGATAATGCTTTGTGACTATCAGCCGTGGATCTTCTCACAACAATGAAAAACCTTAGGGTGGGAAAGCAATTTTATTAGAAAGAGATTTCAAACAAAATTTTACCCGTTACTGAAAGTCGTACAAAAACAAATATTATTAATGTATCAATAAACCAATCACCTTTATGAAGCAAATGCAAGGTTTTTTGTTTGAAGACAAACATGAGATTGCAAAGAGAAAATCTTGATGAAGTATCAAGAAATGAAATACAAGCATTTACAGAATGGGTACTGAACATAGGTGACGGGAGTTTTGAAACAATAATGCATGAAAATGAAGACAATTTAACTTGGATTAAATTGCCAAATGATCTACTAATCCCATTTTTGCATAATCCTATAAAAGATATTGTTTTAGTAGTTTATGATGATTTTGAGAAATATTATGCAAACGCAACATATCTAAAATAAAGAGATGTTGTTATACCTTACAATGAGATAATCGATTTAATTAATGCGTATGCTCTTAACTTGGTACTGCGATGTACAAGAACATATTATAATAGTGATATAATTTCACAAGTAACAAGTCAAATATTATAACATGAATTAGTTTATCCAACGGAACTTTTGAATTCACTCAAGTTTCGTGTATGCTTGATCATGAACGTAATTTGAAAGTAAGTTCTATAATTATGTTATTAAGAACTATTAACCATAATTCAGGTTGATGTAATAGTACTAAAACAACTAGCTTATAACAAAATAGAAGGGAAAATCATTTCTTGTACTCATGCTAACAATAAATACTTTATTCCTCACATTGTTCATTAAAGATGACCTTTTATTTTTAATAGAAAACAATTCCGAGTTAGATTGTGTAATGATATATATACTTATAGATCTTACACTATTTCATGTATTAAAAATTCAATATCCCTTTCATTATTGTTACATATATTATAGTAATTTAGATACATCATATCTAACCAAGAATATATGTTATTAACTATATATTGATCAATTACATTATCTATGTTTATAAACTTTTCTTCGGTTTTTGCACGGATTTCGTCACTTATTAAAGTGATTTACGTACATAGAATCTATTTAATAATATATGTTATTAACTGTATTATTGAATTACATTAACTATGTTTATTATGAAATTCTGTCAAAAATTTTACGCACTGTCCATGTTTCTCGAATGTAAAATCTTCTTTATATTACTTGCATCGAAGCACATAAAATAGTAAAACCACTCCCAGTGCAATATACCGGCAGCACAATAATAATACTAATAATAATAATAATATATTATTATTATTATTAGATGTAGCAATATTTATAAGAATCCTAAAACCATTATAACTGTAATTTTGTTGTAAAGATAATTATATGTACGAATTGGATTAGGATAGATTAAGCTAGCTAGTTGAAGTCAACAAGAACTATGAACTAATTCTACTTCATGGACAACAAAAATAATAATAATTAATAATAAATTATATTCTTTTTATTCTTTTCCCTCCAAAAAATACTCTATATATATACTATTTTACAGAGAATTATAGATAAAGTAAACTATTATTCTATCTTTTATCTCGTACTTGTGAAAGAGTCCTAAGATGGAGCAAGATGAGCAAGATGAGGAAGGTGACCAGGGCTATCAGGACTTTGTGCGACCGTTTACTCCAACCGGTCAAGGTGACCAGGGCTTTATGCCGCCAGAGTTTACCTCAAACGGTCCAGGTGACCATGGTGACCAGGGCTTTGTGCTGCCAATGTTTAACCCAAACGGTCAAGGTGACCAGGGCGACCAGGCCTTTGTGCTACCAAGGAATACCCCAAACGGTCTTGTGATCACCAATGAGAAAGAATTCTTGGATACTTTACCTCCAGGATATCGTTTCAAGCCCCGGGATGAAGAGCTTCTTGTTCATTACTTGAGGAAGAAAGCACACAATAAGCCATTGCCGCCAAACATAATCAAGGAGGTTGAACTCTACAAGCATAGCCCTGAGGAACTTACAAGTAAGGTTTTCTTGATCTTCTTCTTTGTTTTCTTGGAATCAGACAAATGCATGAGTGTTTAGAGAAGGAAAAAACAAAGAATGAAATCGCTAGATATTTATCTTGTAATCCATCATCAAGATCCTGTGGAGTCTATTATCTTGCTTAGATGTAGGATTGCTCTTATTAACCTGTATCATAGACTTCAGAATGATGGATTTTTCGCTTTCGTCTTTTATTTTCTATAGCAACCCCATATATTTTTACTTCCTTCTGTTTGACAAGGAGATCAAAATAACAAGAAGTCGACAAAGCCAGTGACCGAATGGTATTTCTTCACACCAAGAGAGCGCAAATATTGCAATGGGTTAAGACCAAATCGAGCAGCTGGGGATGGATTCTGGAAGGCCACTGGAGCAGATACGTCTGTCAAATTCCAAGGAACCATTGTTGGATTCAAGAAAACATTAGTTTTCTATCGAGGGAAGCCACCTAAGGGCGAGAAGACAACCTGGATAATGCATGAATTCGTATTAAGCAATCCTCCAGAAAGAAAAAGGGGCAGCAAAGATGATATGCGGGTAACTTTGTTAAATTATGTTACAATTTAAATTTATAATCTCTACTTGTATTCAATGCATGAATTCGTATTAAGCAATCGTGGGTAATATTTTTTAAATCATGTTGGAATTTAAATTTATAATCTCTACATGTATTCAACTTTAGTTTTATTTTTCAGTTGTTCTAATTTTCACTTACCAGAAATAAATACGAAAATTCGACCTTTCAAATATACGAAAAAATATAGAAAATATTTGAGGGTATGTATATATTTCTATTGCTTGCGACTTTATTATTGCTTATTACTTAATAATATGTCTTCCTCTTTTTCAGCTTGATGATTGGGTATTGTGCAGACTTTATAAGAAGCATGGTAATAATACCAGAGTTGTAACTCCCCAGCAGGATACTGATCCTGATCCAAAACAGGAGGAAGAAACTGCAACTCAAGCAACTGATTGCACTGAAACCCTGGAGCAAGAATATGGGAATATTCCACCTCAATATATGCTGCCACAACAAACTTGTCCAATGCCTCCTTACGTTGCATATCCTGATTCAACATCTGTACTTCCAGGGTCGATTCCTCCTTACAATGCATATGCTGCTGATTCAACATCTGTACTTCCAAGGTCAATGCCTCCTTACAATGCATATGCTGCTGATTCAACATCTGGACTTCCAAGGTCAATGCCTCCTTACAATGCATATTCTGATTCAACATCTGGACTTCCAAGTTCAATGCCTCCTTACAATGCCTATCTTGATTCACCATCTGGACTTCCAAGGTTTCCTGAATCTTTAGATCCTATGCTGCAACATCAATCTGCAGTGTTCCCTCAGCAGGCTATGACTGTTTATGATAATTTTATACCAACAGCTGCACCGACATCATCAATACATCCTCATTTTGTGGGCCATCATCATCCTTTGAACAGGTATCAGCAGCAGCCATTTTCAGGTGTCCCAAACAATATTAAGTTCTCAGCTGATGATAAATACCTTCTGAATATTGACTTTGGCTTGCCAAATGCATAGAATTTTATGGTGTTGCCAATACTTTAGAATTTGAATTTCTTTTTATTTTCTTGATGGATATTGTTTGAACTTTGGGCAATGCAGTTATGCCCTTTTCTGACTTTTCATTCGAAGCAGTTTAGGTTATGACGTCTGATTATATGCTCAGACTTATTAGGACTTCAGGTTTAGAGCTGGGCTTCAGCTACCTGATGCTCATGTAATCTTTTTCTTTATCATTTCTTCTGTAAAGCTGCAATTTCACTTTCCCAAAAACGAAATGGTGACAGACTCATATGAGTTTACTGCATTGATGAGGGTAAATACAAAGTAAAGTTATTTATAAGATATTATGATATTCAAATAAATACAATGATGGGACTCCTCACTTTTTGTACGCCATCATCCCATTCCAAAGAAGCAGAAACTATAGATTTTTCTGTTGTTCCTTCAATTGTTAGTTCAAAAGATAGCTTTTGCCCGAGAGATGTGAATGACAGAACATTAGGATTAACTTGTATCTTAAGTGCTCCTGCTGGAGCGGTCAATGTTGCTGTATATGTAGACGATGGGGATCCCACATTTGTGACAGTCCTGTTGAAGGTGCGGCTAACTGGTTTCAAGGGTGAGGTAAAAAGTGCAAACGAAGGATAGTTTAGATCCCAAACTGTTCCACTGGTAGCTTCAGAACAAGTAGCATCATCCCTAGTGACTAGTTGTAGAAACCGAGTGCTATATCCTTGTCCGCATAAAAATTTTATGTAGTCAACTTCCTCAGAATCATATACTAGACCAGGATTGACGGCCTTGATAGGATTCAGATTGCCTGAGCCGTATGCAAATTCAGCATCCAAGTTAATACCGGAACTCATAGGGAAGGCTGCAAGGAAACATTCCAATCGGGAAAAGTAACTGCAGTCAGTGAGATTTTGTAGTTTAGGGAGACAGTAGTAGAATAGTAGTCATAGCTATTACCGGTGGTCATAAGGGCAGATTTGATAGCAGCAGGAGACCATGTGGGATGAAATGATTTAACGTAGGCAGCTGCTGCAGAAACATGGGGGCAAGCCATTGATGTTCCTGAGATTATGTTGAATGGCTCGAATCTGTTATCACCTTTAATTTCAGAAACTGGGGAAATTAAGGACCATGCAGCTAGAACGTGGACTCCTGGTGCAGATAAATCTGGCTGTAATTGTTAACAACAATTTAATGTAATAATCAGTCATATAGAAGGGTATATGTACATAAAGATCAATTTTTCATCAACATACCTTGAGTATGTCAGGTGTAATTGGATTCGGACCCCTTGATGAGAAAGAGACTACATAAGGAGCCAGAGAGTCATTAGCTTCATTACTCTTAAATATAGTTGCAGTAGGGGTACTGTAATTTGTTTCAAGAAGATATAGGTAAGTGTTAGAAAATCCTTTGTTACCTTTACAGTAGAAAGTTGTGTAAAAATGATTCTTGATTAATTATATAAAAAAGGAACAGAAAATTTCTTCTTGTGTTGCTACCTTGTCGAGTTTATATATGCAAAAATCTTGCTGCCATCAACCAGATCAAGGTAAGATGCAGGTAAAGGAAACGAGAGAGTATAGTCATTTGGAAGCTGGTCTCGCATCACTGTACCAACTGCACCAGCGGAAAAAGGTCCCCTTCCCTGGCTTAGTGCATCACAAAGAACAATCTTACCCTTTACCAAATTTTGATCCAGTGAATTCTGATAGCAATACCTGTACTTCAAGAATCAATTCCATAATCAGATATTATGAGTATGATCTTTCTCGTACTTGTATTTCGATTTAATGGTAACTCTTATATTAGTTTCAAGCTTCTTATCACTGGATTTTTAAGAAAAATTGGCTAGGTTTCTGATATTACCTGGATAAAGACCTTGTTGCATTAGAACTGGCTGCATCTCCACCATAAATCATAGGGTACATTTTATTCTGGAGATCAAAGGTATTTATCGATACCCCCTGGATACAAGCCAGATAAGCAAATATATATTCAAACGAAAAGGCATTATAGTTGCAATAATGGATCTAAATGCATTTTATTAACAAGGAAATCCAATTGTGATTACACATAGCTTAACTGTTTTACTTGACAGTCATACTTCTTTAAAGAGGATCTCTCTGGTTTCACTTCCTCATCTCCAAATTAAACTTAGTTAGCAATATTTATTTTTACCTAGGAGGATTGGATCAATATCAATGATATTACCTCATAAATCTCACTGTTGCCAAGCTGCACCTTTGTGAAAAACTTGCGGTCTATCATGCTAGCAGCCGCAGCAAGGGACCATGGTGAAAAATTTGAGATGGTTGAACGATCGGGACCATCATTACCTGCAGAGGTTACCGTCAATACACCATTTTTCATGGCATGAAAGGCTCCGATTGAAATAGAATCTTTGAAGTAGTCTTCAGGACTATGTCCTCCAACTGAAATAGAAATTATGTCAACCCCATCTGCAATTGCATCATCAAATGCTGCAAGAATATCAGCATCCTTACAACCATCTGACCAACAAATTTTGTAAGCAGCTATACGTGCAGATGGGACCCCTCCTCGAGCTGTTCCTGAGCCAAAACCAAGCAGGCTTGCCCTGTCAACTAACTTCCCAGCTGCTGTTGATGCAGTATGAGTCCCATGGCCGTCAGAGTCTCTCGGAGAATTGATGTCATTTGGGCCAAAGAATCCAACACTGCGGTAATATTGTCCACCTATGATCTTACTGCATTTAGATAGCAATATTTGTCAGACAATTCAAGCACTAATCAGACAGATGACTCTCCAAGACCATAAACAAATTTATATTCATGTTTTTAAGATGCATACTTGTTGCAAGTGAAATTGCCACCTGCAGTTTGGCAACTGCCTTTCCATTTCTTGGGAGGTGGACCAAGTCCTTGGTCATTAAAACTTTCAGATTCAGGCCAAATCCCGGTGTCTAAAACCCCAATGATAACATCACTTTCCAGAGCTGCTCTTTCAACTTGTTGGGAGAAGCCCATGAAGTCCCATGATCTTGTAGTATGGAGGTTTTTCTTTTCATTTGGAAACACAGATACTACACCATTCATCCCTAAAATGCCCAAAGATGGGTTAAACAGTTTCAAGAAGCGTAGATCATGGTGAAATTACGCTCACTTACCAGCCATTTTTCGTGCCTCTTCCTCCGTTAGCTCCACCGCAAATCCATTAAAACTCCTTTTGTAGCTGTAGAGCACTGACTTGTCAATAACATCACTGCATTCATTCCATTTGAATAGCCAAATCAATGCCTCGTCAATGCAAATGTGACAGCAACTAGTATTTCCTTATACCTGCTACAGACATCTTGTAGCATGCTGCTATGAAGCAAGGAAGTGGAAGTTCCACCACTAGGCCGGTCTCCCATGTACACAATATAGCTCTACAAGTTCAAAGGCACAAAAACAAAGTTGATCAAAAAAATGATAAATAAGTTAAAGAGCCACGATTGTTTTAGGCATGATCGGATATGATGAAACAGATGACTGAAAAATATGCAAATGGAAAACCCAATTAATCAATATACATAAATATTGCCTTTCTATTGGTATTGGATTGAGAATGAGATGCTGCCCTGCTAGTAAGCAGAGCCAAGAAAAGGCCATGGAGTAGAAGACAGGGAAGAAGATATTTTCCGCCTTTCATTATTGGAAGAATGGTCTCATATAGACTTTTCCAAGTACCAGGCTGGAAAGTGTGTTTTGTCCAAGTGTTAGCTATGCATATTTATAGATTCAATAAATAAGAATTTTCTTCTGTCTAGAATATTTTTTTTATGGATATGAATACCCCAAGTTTAACAACCACTTATATGGATTTTTATAGACATGCAATTATTAAATTGGAACCACCAAAATGATGTAAGCACTTGACCTTGATCTTGACGTTTGACAGTCTTGTCCAGAAAAAGGGTAATGCTTGAAGTGAGGACCTGGGAACCGTCCTAACTGGCTAATGTAGAAAAAAGTTAAACAAGCCACTTCAATACAATATTCCCATTTCCTAAACGACAAAGAGGGAGAAATATTCTTTATTTAAATTGTCCCAAAATTGAAGTTACATGTTTATTTGCGGTGTCATAGGCTCACAGCTACCTTTCCACATTTGTTTTTCTGCTATCACAACAAAACCAGGGAATTTGCAGTGTGAAAAGAAAAGAGTACAAATTGTCAAAGACCAGCTTTGAATTCAATGTGTCTTAGTATAAGAGAAATAGGATAAATTATTAAAAACTTTTGATAATTCATAACTATGATATTGAAAGAAATACGATGATGGGACTCTTGACTTTATGTACGCCATCATCCCATACCAAGGAAGCAGAAACTATAGATTTATCTGTCGTTCCTTCAATGGTTAGTGAAAATGATAGCTTTTGCCCGAGAGATTTGAATGACAGAACATTAGGATTAACTTGGATTTTAAGTGCTCCTGCTGGGGTAGTCACATTTGCTCTATATATAGACATTGGTGATCCGACATTTGTGATTGTCCTGTTGAAGACACGGCTAACAGTTGTAGAGGCTGAGGTAAAAAGAGCAAAGGAAGGATAGTTTAGATCCCAAACTGTTCCATTGGTAGCTTCAGAACAAGTAGTATTATCCCTAGTGACTAGCTGTAGAAACCGAGTCCCATATCCTTGTCCGCATAAAAATTTTATGTAGTCAACTTCCTCAGAATCATATACTAGACCAGGATTGACAGCCTTGATAGGATTCAGATGGCCTGATCCGTATGCGAATTCAGCATCCAAGTTAATGCCAGAACTCATAGGGAAAGCTGCAAGGAACATTCCAACCGGGAAAATTAATTACAGCCAGCAAGATTTAGTAGTTTAGGGAGGCAGTAATAGCCTGGTAGTCATAGCCATTACCAGTGGTCATAAGGGCAGATTTGATAGCAGCAGGAGACCATGTGGGATGAAATGACTTAACGTAGGCAGCTGCTGCAGAAACATGGGGGCAAGCCATTGATGTTCCTGAGATTATGTTGAATGGCACAAATCTGTTATCGCCTTTAGTTTGAGAAACAGGGGAAATTAAGGACCATGCAGCTAGAATGTGGACCCCTGGTGCAGATATATCTGGCTGTAATCATTAACAACAATTTAATGTAATAATCAGTCATATAGAAGGGTATATGTACATAAATATTAATTTTTCATCAACTTACCTTGAGTATGTCAGGTGTAATTGGATTCGGACCCCTTGATGAGAAAGAGACTACATAAGGAGCCAGTGAGTCATTAGCCTCCTTACTCTTAAATATAGTTGCAGTTGGGTTACTGTAATTTATGTAAAAAGTGTATAACTATCTGTTAGATGATCTTCATTTATGATAGAAAGGGGTATAAATTTATACTTAATGAAATTCACAAAATGACAAATCTTGTGTTCCTACCGTGTCGAGTTTACATATACAAAAATCTTACTGCCATCAACCAGATCAAGGTAAGATGCAGGCAAAGGAAACAAGCTAGCATAATCATTTGGAGCATTGTCTCGCAGCACACTACCAACTGCACCAGCGCGGAGTGGTTCTCTCCCGGAGACTAACCTATCACAAAGAACAATTTTTCCCTTCACCAAATTGTGGTCCAACGAGTTCTGAAGGCAATTCCTGTGATTTAAGAATCAATCCGATAATCAGATGTCATGTTTTATGTTTCTCATACTTATATTTGCCATTTAAACAAGAAATAATGTCTACTCAAATCTTTTTCTTTTCCCCCGCTTGTGTGAGCATGGACATCAGTGGTATTTCTGTTTACTGATGACTCTCATTTTTGTCCACATGCACACCATGAAAGAATGGAAGATGTTACTCATATTACCTGGATGAAGCCCATGTAAAGTTTCCAGTAGTGTTGGGTGCAGTTCCACCATGAATTATAGGGTACATTTCATTCTTGAGATCAAATGTATTTATTGATGCACCCTGGACAAATGCCAGATAAACAAATATTCAGAATCTAGCTTAACTGGTCACTTCGGTAGTCAGCTAGTCATACTTCTTTTTAAAAGGATCTATCTGCTGTTAATTCCTTCTTTCCAAACCCTCCAAAAAGTTTTGCTTTTATTTAATAGGATAGGGACAATTAATGGCATTACCTCATAAATCATATTGTTCCCAAGCTGGACCTTGGTGAAAAACTTTCTGTCTATGGTGCTAGCAGCCACAGAGAGGGACCATGGAGAAAAATTGGTGATGGTTGCACGGTCAGGACCCTGATTACCTGCAGAGTTTACTGTCAACACGCCGTTTCTCATGGCATGAAAAGCTCCAATAGCTATAGAATCGTTGAAATAGTCTCTAGGAATTGCTGTTCCTACTGAAAGAGATATAATGTCAACCCCATCTGCAATTGCATCATCAAAAGCTGCGAGAATGTCAGCATCATAACAACCATCAAACCAGCAAATCTTGTACACGGCAATACGTGCCGATGGAACCCCTCCACGAGCTGTTCCCGAGGCAAAGCCAAACAGGCTTGCCCTGTTAACCAACCCTCCGGCTGCTGTTGATGCAGTATGAGTCCCATGACCACTAGTATCTCGAGGAGAAACAATGTCATCTGGGCCAAATAACCCATTGCTCCGGTAATACTGTGCTCCAATGATTTTACTGCACTTGGATTCCGGACAGCAATATTTGTCAAACTTCAGACACTACTTTGACTGACTTTCCAAAGACTATAAAAACAAATATTTATGTGTGTAAGATGCATACTTGTTGCAAGTGAAATTGACACCTGCCGTTTGACAATTGCCTTTCCATTTGCTGGGAGGCGGACCAAATCCTTTGTCATTAAAACTTTCAGATTCAGGCCAGATTCCAGTGTCTAAAACTCCAATGATTACATCACTTTCCGAAGCTGATCTTTCCACTTGTTGGGAGAACCCCATGAAGTCCCATGACCTTGTTGTATGGAGGTCTCTCTTTTCATTCGGAAACACAGATACCACACCATTCATTCCTGAAAGTCAAAAGATGGTGTTAACTGATTTCAAGAAAACAAGATCATGGGTGAAACCATGCTCACTTACCAGCCATTTTACTTGCTTCTTCCTCCGTTAGCTGGACCACAAATCCATCAAAACTCCTCTTGTAGGTACAGAGCACTGACTTCATGTCAAACTCGCTGAATCCATTCAAATTTTTTGCAAAGTCAAGGCCTTGGTTCACAGTTCACCTCAACATATATACTTTTGACAATTTTTAGTCATATGCTTTCTATTCTTCCCTGTGCCCCCTCCGTCTCCCATTTCTTCTTCAACTTTACGTTGACAGAAAGTTAAAGTAATGGAACTTTATAGTATGATCTGATCATTTATATGAACTAAAGTTTCATAGTTTCTCTGCTATATTCTGCATATCTATTCATTTTTAGTCCCGCAGACAGTGAAAAAAAAAACTGTTTTTACTGAAAATGTATCAGCAATTACTTAAATCACCATTGATTCATTACCTGCCGAAGGCATCTTGTAGCATGCTATTGTGAAGCGAGGATGTGGCACTCCCACCGCTAGGTTTTTTTCCCATGTACACAATATAACTCTGCAAGTTCACACAAGGTACAAGAGATTGAAGTTTATCAGCAATGAATCAATTTGTTCTGGAAAATGATAAATAAGTTAAAGAAATCCCATTCTTGCTTTACGTCAATGATCATGAAAACCATGCAAGGATGATTAAAAATGAACGTAAAACATTGCCTTTCTATTGGGTTGAGATGCTGCCCTGATAGTAATCAGAGCCAATAGAAGGCCATGGAGGAGAAGGCAGGGAAGAAGAGATCTTTTGCCTTCCATTGGTAGAATGATCAACAGAAAACTTTTCTATGTTGGACACTGTTTTTTTGAAGTATTAGTTATGGATTTTTATAGTAAACGAGGATATGGTTTTTAGACTAATTCCTACAAGCTTTTTTTATTAATTAATATTTTGATAATGATTTCTTCACGAAATACATTTCCGGCTGATTATTTTATGGTTCAATCAAATCTAATACATTTTATATCTTTAATGACTACCTAAAAATGATTAAAGTGAGGTGCAGCAATCCATAGAGACATCATGATAATAAAATAATATGAATAAATAAAACCAAGTAAACTATAAAAAACAATTTTATATTTATAGATGACTTTTGTCTAATTGCAGTGTCACGCCAAGCATTACAAGACAAGAGATTTTGGACAGTTTATGATCGCAAACGTTGCATATCTGATCAAATTAATCTTTTGGAGAGAGAAGTAATGCTGTAACAGTAAAACTGTGCTACAGCCTTCTCTACAACTGAAAATTAAAATTGGGAATACAATAAAGTTTCATGCAATAATCACCTGATGATAATAAAAAGTCAATTGAAGAATTGCTCAAATGTCAAGTTTTCTTGAGTGAGGGAATTGTATCAACATTTACCTAACCTAATCTGCCATTTGGCTTTGAACGATTAAAACTTGGACATAATCATCAGTCTTCTCCCAAATTTGTATATTCTAGAAGAAATAATCATCAGTCTTCTTCGAAATGTATATATTCTAGAAGTGGAAAGTGAGGTTTTGCCCATTGATTACATATGTTCTTGGGATGTAAAATGACTTGGATTAGTAATCAGTCAATTCTCTAGATCGATTAGGTAATGAAAATTCAAAACAGGAAGAAGAACAATGACATCCCATCTGCCCAAAATTAATAGTCAATTCCATCAAAAAAGCATGCTGCTGGAAGTCATAGTTTTGGCAGGCATTACCTCAAGCTTAGTCATGAATGTTGTCTGAGTATATTTGTCTGGTTTTAGCCTGAACAAAAAAACAAGCAAAAGACATGACCCAATCATAATTCTATGTTTCCACTCTATCCCCGGTCATCCTCCAACCGGTTATGACAACACAATCCTTCTTTGTCTGTAAGTTTCTGCATCAGGTGCACCAGTTAACCAAAAGGATATGATCCTTAGTTCCCTTGGCAAATGAATTACAACCCCAACAAATAATCTTGCATTGACCAAAGTCCAGAATACTTAACTACCCTTGCTAGCGCCCCTCTTTGTTCTTCAGCACAACCAATTTGATCAACATGTTTCAACCTGATCTGTCAGAAGTGATCTTGTCTATGATAACTGTCAAGAATCTTTGTTGGATCTTTTCTTATTTTTTATCTGTATTAAATTGTGGGTTAATGCTTCCATCAAACCTGTTTGATATATATATCTCTTTGTTGTAATGATTCGTTGACTTAGCCAACAGTATCCAGACCCCATTAATCATGAAATTTTTAACCGTCCCAAGGGCCAAGAAAATGTAATTCCATCTTTCCCTATAAATAAATTTAATAAAACAAAACAAAAATTATTTAAAAGTGGCTGAGTTTAGCTGGTTAGATCCCACTGAAAGACCGTTTTAAGCGCCTTTTCATCCGTTATTCTGTTTTTTCTCTTGGCTATGGAAAGCATGCTTCCTTTCTCTTCTCTCCTCTCCTTTCCCTTCTCCTTGTCCTGAGCCTTTCTCTCTCTCAATGCAAGAACTTTCAGCAAAACCAACACCAGGTTTCTGAATTTCACTGATCACCCCTTTCTGTCAATCATCAATATTAATCAATCATCATTTTATGGTTAGTCTATTGTTTTCAAACCTTGTTTGTTTCTGAAGAAAAGTTTTGGACAGAAACGGGAAGAAGAAGAAGAGGAAAAAGAAAAGAAAAGAAACTGATGCATTGCTTTTCTCTTCATTTTCATTGGAGATATATAACAATGTTAAACTTAAGCCAAGCTTGGATTGTTTGATATAATGAAATTTAATTCACTGTTTTTCCTTTTTCTTTTTTTTTTGGGATTGAGCAGGTTTTTGGATATCATAAGAGATTGTGTAAATGGCATATAAAGTGGATCATGAATATGATTATCTATTCAAGATTGTATTGATTGGAGATTCGGGTGTGGGAAAATCCAACATTCTTTCGAGATTTACGAGAAACGAGTTTTGCTTGGAGTCCAAGTCAACTATTGGTGTTGAATTTGCAACAAGGACTCTTCAGGTTGGCTTTTATATATACATCTGATTTAATTATCGTTTTCATATATGTCTTATTTTCTGATAATGTTCCTAATGCTGGTCATTGTTGTATCATTTTCATTGTGTGATTTTGATATTTTTCATTAATTTAGTCACTAAATCTGTGGATTAAAAGGCTAAACAATGTTGACGAAATCTGAATTCCAAGGAAAAAAAACTCTTTGTAGTTTTCCAAGAAGCAAGCCTTTCTTCTCAGGCAAGAAAAAACTATATGCATTAGGGCAACTAGCCATTGATGATTTAATTGATGACAATAGCAAGGCATTCTTCTTACTGCATCTTAAGTAAGTACAATGAGATATGTTGTCATTTGAGTATAGAAGTGTGGAATTACTACCAGCATCTGATGTCATTTTAAGATTTTGAGTCCTGTTTCCATTCAAGTTCATTTGGAATCATCCCAAAAATAATGAGACATGGGGAAGAACAAATTTAGTCTAGGGAAGAGCAGTCAGGGATTGAGAAGATATTACATGCTAGACTTTGATCTAGTATTTTGATTAGCATATTTCTACCTCAGCTTAGGAGCTGTTTCTTGCATTTCAGGTAGAAGGGAAGACAGTTAAGGCACAGATATGGGACACAGCCGGTCAAGAGAGGTACCGTGCCATCACCAGTGCTTACTATAGGGGTGCAGTCGGAGCGCTTTTGGTTTATGACATAACTAAGAGGCAAACCTTTGACAATGTCCAGAGGTGGCTGCGTGAACTGAGAGACCATGCAGATTCAAACATTGTCATTATGATGGCTGGAAACAAGTCTGATCTGAATCATCTTAGAGCAGTCTCATCAGAAGATGCAGAAAGCTTGGCTGAGAAGGAAAGTCTCTCGTTCCTCGAGACTTCAGCACTGGAATCTTTCAATATTGAGAAAGCATTCCAGACAGTTTTATTGGATATTTACCACATAATCAGCAAAAAGGCATTGGCAGCACAGGAAGCAGCTTCCACCACTGGCCTTCCTCAAGGCACTACCATTAATGTGTCCAATCTGTCAGGAAATGAAAACAAGAGATCAGCTTGCTGTTCTACCTAGAAGGTAAAATTTTTTCTGTACGAGAGGTAACAGAAATGTTGCATTGCCAGCCAAATTTTGTGTCCCCTTGGGACAGACATGAAAACCACATGTTTTTAAGATATATTCATCTCAGGGCAATGTAGAAACAGGTTTTTGCTTCATAAGTACAATAGATTAAGATGAAAAATGAGGATTTTAGCAGTCTCAGGTTCTGATATGGAATCCGCAGAGGGTTTCATGGGAAATTACCTAGTATATTTTTTAAATATAGGCAAGGAAGAGGAAGAAGAAGTGTTGTAAGGTGTAGCACTTGGTTCTGTTTCATTTTTTCTTTTTCCCTTTCCTGGCCTTGCTTTTGTTGATTCTTTGAACTTGAAATAAATTTTTTTTTTAATTATTTATGTTGTAACCTCTTTTCCTTCAATTAGTTTTAAGTACATGATCATGTGGCATGAATGTATTGTTGTTTGAAAATAGCAGACTTTAAACAAATCCCAATTCTTGCCTAATTAACTGTCATTAGACAGTTCAAAAGATTATATTACTTGAATAACAAATAAGGATTTCATTTCGATATAAGTACATTTTCTTGTATAATTCCTAGCAAGAGCAACTAATTTTCAGAGCTATAAAGAGAGGGAAACATTTTGAAGATGATGATGGGATGTCGGATGGAAGTTCCTGATGTCTGGGGATATCTTGGCCTGCTGCCATGGATTGAACACGGGATGTTCTCTGAAGAGTGTTTAACTGGCTTACCTGCTACAGTAGTTGTAATATTCTGTCACCATTAAAATTTGACTTCTGCTATCATATTTTTGGCTTTTGCTCTTCTTTCCCTTCTTTGTTTACTAAGGATTGAAATTGAGATGGTTTAACAATAAGGCTTCATTTCTCCAGATATTTAATAAACATTCAATTCCTCAGTTGAGGGTTTCTTTAGCTGAGACACAACCCAATCTGTAGTCACAATATCAGACCCTTTTCTTCAAGCTACAAAAGGAAAAGTAAATGAGATATGGGGTCTTATTCACAAATTTAATCTCTGCCTTTCCTTTTGTTTTGTTTATCCTTTCTGCGTCCAACAAATTTCATAGTACTAGATTTTAGCTGAAATTAGTTTCAGGTACTTGGCACAGAAGAAAAGTTGAAAATACCTGGTTCGTGGAGTTTTTTCTAAGTTGAAGATTCTTTATTCAAAGCAAGGGCATATTACATGACTGTCTGTTCAAGAGAGCCTCACATTTTGATGTCAAAAAAGGGAAAGGCTCAAGCAATTTGGAGTCAAAGAGGGTGAACACTGGACAGAACAACTCACAACCAAACTTTACCATTGCTAGAGAATTTATTCCACTGTCACCAACCATTCTTCTTTGGTCCTTTATTATTATCTTAGGCATCCACAAGAGAAAAGATCTTCTAATGTTTTCTTTTTTTACTAATGTCAATCTGCAGAACCCGACAGGATCCAGGGAAAATAGATAGGGCAATCTCCCAACTTTTGTTCTTGCAGATCACTTTGAATATATGCGAATGACAAAGGATGAAAGATTGTTTAATCAAAGAGAATGGCATATGAATTTCTTTAGTTGAATATTATAAAGAGAATTATCAAGGATCGCCACTTACAACATTTAATTACACAGCCATGGCTTGGGGACAGATTCTGCTTTTCTATCCCTGAACCCCTTTGTTTATTTTTGTTATCTTCTTCATGCATTCCATGAGGAATCCAATTAACAAAAGTTGAATTCTCCAGAGGTATGCTCTTAGGGGGGAAAAAGGAAGCTTCGCATGAAACCTGGCTACTAAGTAAGACTTGCATTTGCTCTATGGGGTAGGTAACCAGGTTTCATTAAACGGTAGTTCAAAGAGATAGGCTGAGAATCTAAGGAAATTATTGAGACGACTAGGAAAATCTGATTATTCTGGTCTACAGAATCTAGCATTAGAGATTTGATTGACTCTTTGGTTCATAGTATTCTTAGAGATTAAAGTTGAACAAGATTACCATAAATCTGGCCCTTGAGCACTAAGAGTGGATGAAACCAACCTTTATTAAAGAATAAATTTTCAAAGAATCAGTTTGGAGACAGATCATTGGGCCAAGCTTTTTAGATAAACCAGCAAACAGTCTTTCAGTTTTATAATCTTAAAGAGTGGTGGAATCTTTCTGCATTTCACTGTCAAAAGAAATACACAGTTAAAGGAAAAAGGCAGTCAAAAGTTTTAACTAGCTTAAATAAGTATATATTTTTAAACTCTTCAGTAAGATCAAGGCCTTGAAGAATTTTTCCTTGGAAAAGCATTTGAGACCTATAGGCTAGTAAAGCATATAAAACCATACATATACTCAATTACATACTGATACCATACCCTTTTTCTTTTACCAGAAACTGCAAATCACTATCATCCAATATCAAACTGGGTGCTGTGCTGTTTTAACAGATTTGTCCTGAAAGAGGATCAATCTAAGAATCTTATTTCCTATTTGAATGCTATCATCTCTCCATAGCATATAGACAAAAAGGCAGCTATCTGCCTTGGACAGGAAAATGATTGAGTGCCAAACTAGAAAACCTGTTACCATCCTCAAAATTTTCAGGCTTTCATCCTCCTTATACATGATAAATCTAACATGGGTAAATCCCAAATGCTTGATTTGCCACTAATTCAAGAATGCATGTTGACAGATACTAACCATATCTGCACATTGTGAAGCTTTGTTTGTAACTGAATGGCCAAGTATTCTTTGAATATTTGGAGTTTAATTAATGAAAAAGGGAAAAGAATATGGAACTAAATAAGCACACGGATTCTCTTTCCATATGCATGTAACAGTGACATCTGAGTTTAATATCTAAAAAAAGTTAAGGAATAAACCAGATAAGCCAAATAATAATTTTTGCTTTAAAATCTAACATAATGGAAAACCCTTTACTTTTTAGTATAAAAGGGAGTACCAAGCATACCCTCAACTTACCATAAAAACTCTTTCTTAATTAGTAAACTTGAAATGGAGCAAGAAGCAAAGAGAAAGGATGGTAAAGATGAAGGACGAGATGGAGAGAAATGGGTTCATGATTCATCTGTTAATCATAAGGGAAAAGTTCCTCTAAGAGCTTCAACTGGTGTATGGAAAGCCTCTCTCTTTATCATTAGTAAGTATATCTATATTAAGCTTGCAATAGTTTCTACCAGCACAATATAACAAAACCTTGCTCTTTGGCATATTCACTGTTTTCTTACAATTATTTGGTGATTGTCAATCACCAACATGCTGTATCTCTGGTTCAGAAAAAGATTTCAGAGTCATATATAAAATGGAGACCATAATAGGTTTCATGTCACAGTAATAATGTATAGTAACATAATGTCTAGGGACATTAATGTGCATGGATGAGGTCAGGAAAGCCTAATGTCTGCCTTTATCTTTACCAGCACTGTTTAATTATCGTTATCAACAATCAGCTCACATGTGACATTAACTTCATTGAAGAAAAAAAAAAGCCAAATAACCATTTGGCTCAAACAGTTTTGTGAATTTTTCTTCTTTGCAAGCGTATGTTTGTGTGTTAGTGTCTGTCGCCAGGGGTAAGCATTTTGCCTCCATCAAGGTTGCCAAACCTTGTTGATATTTGACAGCTCTTTGCTTGAAATGAAATAAAGGAAGCTAAAAGACATTAGACTTACTATTTCACGGTTGGTTCTGCCATAAATCTAGTGAACAAACTTGATCAAAAGAAGGAAATGATAACAGATAGAACGTTGAATTTTGGCCTCCAGAGTGCCTCCATGATTATGTGCAGACTGTAGATCAATCAGTCCTTACAACTGAGCTTATATCAGATATTTGCCAAGTAATAGTCTTCCACACACCTATGCATTGATGATAATAATTAAGTTTATTATAAGTTATTGATTGATAATAGGAAAAGTATTTAAGGGGAGCTAGTTCATTAGCCCTAATAACCGCCTGCTTTAATCTTTGGCTAATTCTAATCCAATGGGTAAGAGTAATGGAAAGGGGTGGTCCTCCCCCTTCATTGGACACTGCCTTCCCCATAATGGTGATCCAAGTCTTTAGTTTCTAGTAAGTTATAACTTTTTTTTTCTTGCCTTAATTTTCAAAGGAAGGATTATCCTAAAGTAGTGGACAGATCAGAATCCGTTTAGACATGAATCAGCAATCTTGACTATGATTTGTAACTAATTACTTGAGGCTAATATTATGTGCAATGAGATCTGTCAACTTTTGGCAATCAAGGAAGGAAATTCAGAAAACTTTATTAACTCCCTGTCAACTTTTGGCGCAGCAATTGAGTTTAGTGAAAGGCTAAGCTACTTTGGAATAGCAACAAATCTCATTTCATACCTAACCAATGTGCTTCATCAAGACCTGGAAACAGCTGCAAAGAATGTTAACTACTGGGCAGGAGTCACAACAATAATGCCTCTAGCTGGAGGGTTCTTAGCAGATGCTTACTTTGGCCGGTTCACAATGGTTCTGCTTTCATCCCTCATTTATCTCTTGGTAATTGCACAAAATCAGAATAAACACCGCCTTGATTTTAAAATTGAAATGGCTTTTAAGACAAATGAGATAAATCCCATGCCAATTAAACTAATGTACTCAGCCTTACATATGTTCTTTTTTAATGTGGAAAGCAGGGTCTGAGCCTCTTGACGATGTCTGAGTTTATCCCAATTATAAAGCCATGCAATGCACGCGTGTGTCATAAACCAAGGAAAATTCATGAAGTGCTTTTCTTTCTTGCACTGTACTTTATCTCCCTTGGGACTGGAGGACACAAGCCTTGCCTTGAAAGCTTTGGAGCAGATCAGTTTGATGATGATCACTTGGAAGAAAGGAAGAAGAAGATGTCTTACTTCAACTGGTGGAACTTTGCACTTTGTTGTGGACTTTTGCTTGGTGTGATAGTCATAGTTTATGTTCAAGACAAAGTCAGCTGGGGGGTTGCAGATCTTATCCTCACTATAGTTATGGCTGTCACAATCTTAACCTTTTACATGGGGAAGGTTTATTATCGATACCGGTTACCAGTAGGCAGTCCTTTAACTCCTTTACTGCAAGTTTTGGTTGCAGCCATAAGGAAGAGAAAATTACCTTATCCTTCCAATCCTTCTTTACTATATGAAGTACCAAGATTGAAATTGTCCCAAGGAAGGCTTCTATGTCATACAAGTAGGCTTAGGTAATTTAAGGAAGTTCAAAACAATTACTTTTCATTGGAATGTCCAATCTGGCTTAGGTAAAATAGATTCTAATCAATTTAATCTGATCAGCAGGTTTCTAGACAAAGCTGCAATAGTTGAAGACAGGGAAAACGCTTCAACTGAGAAGACTCACAATCCTTGGAGACTAGCAACAGTGACAAAAGTTGAGGAAATGAAGCTTGTTTTAAGCATGATTCCCATTTGGCTTACTTCTTTAATATTTGGAGTAGGTGTGGCACAAGCTTCAACTTTCTTTGTCAAACAAGCTGCAACCATGGACAGAAGGATCACCCACAATTTCGACATTCCAGCAGCATCTATTTATTCTCTCACTGCTGTTGGAATGATGGTTTCAGTCACCATCTATGAGAAGATTCTTGTTCCATTTCTAAGGAAGGTTACCAGCAATGAAAGAGGCATAAATATCCTTCAAAGGATCGGCATTGGCATGATATTTTCCACACTGTCCATGGTTGCTGCAGCATGTGTTGAAATGAGAAGGCTGAAAGCTGTTGAGAAAGAGATTATGCAAGGTGGGAAGCAAGTGGCACTGTCTATGAGTGTGTTTTGGCTTGCTCCTCAGTACTTAATCAATGGCCTGGGAGATGGTTTTGCTTTGGTTGGCCTACAGGAGTACTTCTATGATCAAGCTCCTGATTCAATGAGAAGCTTAGGAATAGCCTTTTATCTCAGCGTGATTGGAGTTGGAAGCTTCCTAAGCAGCTTCCTAATCATAATTGTGGATCATATCACAAGGAAAGGAGGCAAAAGTTGGATTGGGAAGGATTTGAACATGAGTCGTTTGGATAATTTCTATTGGATGCTAGCAGCCCTAAATTTACTGAATTTCTGTGCTTATATATTCTTGGCAAGGAGTTATACTTACAAAAATGTAGAAAGAGGGATTCTTGTGCCTGACTGCCCTAAGAGTGATGAGGCAGACCTAATTGTGTAAATCTTTTCTGATTTAAATAACATAAGATTTATATTTTATATGTGAAAAATGACAAGGCATGTCAATTAGATATGATTGATAAGAGTTACTAACATGACACGTCATTTCCTCTAACTCTTGTTATGACCACAAACATGGCATGCCACATTACAAAAAATCTCACACTATTCCCTTCTGTTCTGTCAGTAGGTCACCTGAAATTTCATGTATATAGTTTGTACAATTCTCGTCAATAATAATATCTGGCCTACCTCATTGGCCTAATATGCCAAATACCAAAATAATAAGAAAAATTATAGAATCCTAAGGAATCTTGATCAATATTGTATCTAGTGTATATATATATATATATATATACTATTTATTTATTCTACTATTACCATGTTCAAAAGTACTATAGCTGTTAGATGACGTAGTAGGAAAGTCTTTCTATACTCAATGCCATAACAGAAGAGTCCACATATTTGAGATTGAGAGCGTGACCTACCTCTGTCTTTCATACTTCACGTCCAGTGCCTGATCATCTCTCTCTCTCTCTCTGCTTTAACTGCAGAAGACTATCTGCAAGGCACAGAAGATTGTTAATTCATAAGCCCTTTCATTTCCGCCATCAACCATCATCACCCAACACCATTCTCTCATTCTTCATTCCATGGAAGGAAGTTATAATCAACCCCTCCATATACCACAACAAAACAGAAGGAACAGGCTTAGGGTCACCATTGGAACCAACCAAGAAGAAGAGCAAGCCTCACAAGCTCCACTTCTCCAACTGAACCAACCGGCATTGATTTGTCCTTCTTCTTCTCAACCAACTTTCATGCACGCTTTCCCACAATCTTTGTGCTCAAGCACAATGCAAAACCCGAGAGATGTTAACTACCAGCTCTTTGATGGCCAGGGTTTATCTTTGTCTCTATCTTTTCAACACCAGGGTAACATGAATCTCCCTTTGAACTTGGATGCACAAAAGAGCAATGAGAATTCAATCTTGGGAGGTTTTCTGCAACAGAATGGTCAAATGAGAAGTTCTGTTCCACTTGGTCCATTTACTGGCTATGCGTCTGTGTTGAAGAGTTCAAGGTTTTCGAAGCCTGCACAGCAGATTTTAGATGATTTTTGTGGAATTGATTATAGAGTTTTAGACTTTCCATTGGAAACCTTAGGTGATGGTGACGTTGGTAAGGATCAAATTACATATGATAAAATTCAGCATCGTTGGAAGAACTCAAGGCTCGTTCTGATGCTGGATGAGGTATGCATGTTTCTTCCTATATCTGTCAATACAATACAAATATTTAACTTATTAAGTTGATTTTTTCTCAAATGACTGCAAAAACTGTTGCTGTTTACATTTCTCTTACATGCGAAAGGTAACTTTCAATTCCAGTTTTATGACTAAAACTAAAAGAGTGAGATGGTCAACAGGTTTAAACTATTGCCATGAAACCAATAAATGGAGCTTTAGCTTACTAAATTACTGATGCAAGTATAGAGCTTAAGCTTAAGAGAAGTATGACAAGGATGCAATGTATGAATGCTACACATTCGAATGGTGAAAAATTGCATCAGTGCAAATTATAATGGAACACTGTGTTTGATCTCAAGTGAATACACTGTAGATGAGAAGATACTGTGTGATCATTTATGAGGAAGGAAAAGAAGAAAAAGATGATGATTGTGATATTCACTTCCTTTCAATTGAATTTGAGTGTAACTGATGATATAATTGTTGCTGTCAAAGAATCAGTATCCTCGGGGAAAGATATCTGATTTATTTTAGTAGAAATGGCAAAAAGATGTCTTGTCTTGTCATATTAAATCATGTTACTGTTCCTTTTTTGTTTTGTTTTGTTTTTGCATTTTCTCTGTGTATTGTCCCCTTTTCATCTCTTCTTTTTTTTCTCTCTGTACAAGCTTCTTCTTCGCTTGCCTGGGGGTATCTTGAATATTTTTTAAAAAAAATTACTGTAGCCGTCATCTCTGCTGTGTCCTCGGTAGCATCTCTGTGAGCGTGGGTTCTGTGCACTGCACTGACAGTGGGGAAAAAGCTCTCTAGGCTGCATCTGAACCTGAAGCTTTCTCTGTTAGAGAGTCTTGTTGAGCGTGTAAGGGTGACATTGGGAGACACAAAAATGGAGAACTGCAGCTTCTTATTTGGGATCTGATCATCTAGAGGATAATTCTTGTAAAATGAAATAGGATAGGAACTTTAGTAGGGTTATACGCATAGAGAAGAAATAAAGAGCCCTGGAATGTACCTGTTCTATTTTCCATTAACTGCATGCTTAAAATTTTAAATTGCTTGGCAGCAAGGTGTTTCACATGTTTAAGAAGCGAGAAAGCTAATGCACGCACCAAATTGTGGTAATTCAGGAAACATATTTGATAATCGAATCTTAATCAGTGAACCAAGGGAGGAGTAATTAGGAAAGAATTAACAGAAACCTAGGTTAACTGTAGCATCACCTTGTCCGTACTCAATTAAATACACAACTACTTGTTTAGAAGAATTAGATTTTAGGATAATCTTCCCCATTATAATGGTGGGAAGAAAACAAATTCTTCTGATGGATTATAAGGTTCTCCGGATTCTGGAGCCCAGGAGGATGTGCAAGTTTAGTCTGAAATGATCAGACATCAAATTGAAGGCAGCATGCTGCCCAAGATACATGTTCCCTGCTATCTATAGATAGAGGCTGCAGTTGATGCTTAACAACTGTTACAGGTTCCAAGATAATTGTTAGGTAATATTGTTTAATATGGTTTAAAAAATCATTGATACTTAAGGAGATTAACATGTTCCAATTTGTTCTCCCTTCGTCTCCATCAGGTATACAGGAAATACAAGCTGTACTGCCAGCAAGTACAATCAGTTGTTGCATCATTCAAATGTGTTTCCGGCCTTGGGAATGCAGCTCCATATGCATGTTTTGCTTTCAAAGCCATTGCAAAGCATTTTAGTTGCTTGAAGAGTGCCATCCTGAACCAAATTCGGTTCACAGACAAAACTGCTGATAATGCTGTTGTGGGTAAAGATAATAATGTTCTAAGCGTTTGGACATCTGATCAAGGGATTAGTAACCAAAATCCTGTCCAGAACGTGACTTTTCTTCAGCATCCTCTTTGGCGATCTCAAAGAGGACTACCGGATCATGCAGTTGCTGTGCTCAAGACATGGCTATTTGAACACTTCCTGCATCCGTGAGTGACTTTCCTAGTTTTACTCTCCATTAATACTTTCTTTAAATTCTGCCTGGTTAATGGTGGTGAATCAAATTGTTATACTCTTGGCAGTTATCCTACGGATTCAGAAAAGCTAATGTTAGCTCGACAAACAGGTCTATCCAGGACTCAGGTGAACTTTGTGCCTTCTTAAGTCTTTTACCAGCATCCTTTTCAATGAGAACCATAATTTTTGTGCTCTTCTGGGTTGGCTAATGCAGTAATGAAATGAGCTTTTGTACAGGTTTCCAATTGGTTTATCAATGCAAGAGTAAGACTCTGGAAGCCAATGGTGGAAGAGATACACATGCTTGAATTAAGGCAAGCTCAGAACCCATCATCAGAAGCTACAAACCAAGATGCTAAACTCCCATCTGAGCTCCTCCTAGACAAATTGCCACATTTCAATTCAAGCCAAGAAGTTGAGAATATCCAAACTAAACGCCCAAGAAACAACATCTTCTACCCAGATGAGCAAAGCAAGCTACAGAACAGTGCATTAGCTTTCACCAATCTTCCAAGCAATCACCATCTTGGAGTTGGCACCAGCAATTTCTGTCTAGCATTGAGTCTCAATCAGAACAACAATGGGCTTGACTTGGCAACACAGCCATTGCCAATGAACTTATGTCACAATTTCAACTTTGAAACTGATGGTGAGCTGAGCTTGAAAGCTGGTTTTGATGTTGAAAGACAGCCCCATGGGAAGAATTTTTGAAAGGCAAAGCACAAAGTTTTGTTCATATGCTGTTTATTTCTTGTATCTTGCCTTAGAAAGCTTGGAACTTTACAGTATAATTGGAACTTCAAAGTCTTCTTGTTCTATTTTCTTTACTTGTTCACAAGAATGTGTGCAAAGGGACAAAGATAGTCACTTCCGTAGCTGATTTCTCTTCTAGATGAAGAAACGTTTAGGCCGCCGCCGGTGACATCTCGCGAGAAACACAACCAACGTTGTCTCCACCAATGGGTACACGTGGAACTCTCTGAATGGAGGATTTAACTAACCGACCGGAAACTCCAAACTTATCTTTAACAGCTGTCACTCAACACGCCACACCAAAGTATCTCACTTGAAAGAATATCCTCTTCATATATTCGACGGCTGTAAAAATCACCTACCACCGTTCCCATCATAACTTTAAAGAAAGAGAAGTTTGACTTGACATAGAAAGTCAAACAGATGAACGGCTGCAGACAACCATGGAAGTCGGTTTGGTGGAGTTAGATTGATATCTAAATGGAAACGACATCGTCCCAAAAGATTGAAACTTTGTGTGGAAGTATGGGAAAAGCGAATTAACCAAAGAAAATTCTTGAGCTTTATATTCACAAGCGCTTTTTTTATTATTTTGTTCTATAAAACCAAAGCCTCGTATTTTCCAAGTCAAGTTCCAATCTTTGGGCAAAGTTTGTACTTTTTTTTTTGGCTACATTTAGCTATGCAAACAGAAGCGAGAGTTGGGGTCGTAAATCCAGGCCATGGGGGAGGAGGCGGAAAAAGTGGGGTGGAGACGACAGCCTTGAAATTTAAACAGCAACAGCAAGAGTTATTGCAAGCACAAAAAACCCAGATCGGGACTGTCTCACAGTTGCTTGCTGGTGGGGTTGCTGGTGCTTTAAGCAAGACTTGCACTGCACCTCTTGCTCGTCTCACCATTCTCTTTCAGGTTTTGCTTTGTTTTTCCAATATCTTTTTTCACCCTTTTAAAGATATTTTTGGGTTATTTTTGTTTGAGATGGTTTTGGGAGAAGTAGGTGGCTTTTTATGTGGATTTTGCAGTAAAGATGATAATTTTCTGGCTTAGAGAAATTAACATATGAGGTGTGAGTTGATGAATGTGTTCCAACGTTTTTTATTTGTGAGGTGTTGGTTATGTATTTATAAGTCATTGGCATTGATTTTTTGTTTTTTACTTTTGCCATTTGTCAATTAGAAAATTTGAAATGACTTGATTCTGTTATTAATTATTGCTATTAGTTTTTTAATCTACGAAGTTCAAAATATCTTGAAATTTGGTATGAATATCTATTTATGGTGGAAATAAAGCTATGATGGATTGAATTCTGTTTTCACCGCTTGTGATATTGTTCATGTCGAATTAGTCAGGGAAAACTAAGTGATGTGATATGGTAACATCTTTGCGGTGAGCCCTCGTTCTGGGATTCCAGTACAATGTTGCTATTGTCCATCCATTATCTGTTGAATTCTTGTTTTTGTTACAGAATTAACAGAACTAAATTGTGTGGCATGTGCTTGAAATTATGATCAGTTTCTCATCTGCTGTAGTTTACATCATTAATTATGGTTCCAGTTATTTGTTTGATTTTTGATTTTCTATCTCTCTCTTGAAATATTATTTCTTCATGGAGTTGGCAACCACTGGATTTGCTTGATATTTTACCTTGTTTTTGTCATCATACTTTGTAGGTGCAAGGCATGCACTCTGATGCTGCAACATTAAGAAAAGCTAGTATATGGCGAGAAGCGTCACGTATTGCTGGTGAAGAAGGTTTCAGAGCCTTCTGGAAGGGGAATCTGGTTACAATTGCACATCGTCTACCGTATTCTTCTTTGAACTTTTATGCCTATGAGCGCTACAAAAAGGTTGGTACTTCGGTTCTAGAGATGAATACCTTCTAGTACAATAAAATACCATCTGTATTTCAGTGAATTTTTCTTTTTTCTGGTTAGGATTGGATCCTCTGTGACCTTCTCATGGGCATTCTTGTTCTTAAATTTTGATCTTTATTCTTTGTTTCAGTTACTATATACGCTTCCAGGACTGGAAAGTCATAGTGAACATATGAGCACCGACCTTTGCATACATTTTTTAGGTGGTGGCTTGGCAGGAATTACTGCTGCATCTGCTACTTATCCACTGGATCTTGTAAGAACACGTCTTGCAGCCCAGGTTAAATCCATATGCCCTTGACACAATGTTTTCAGGCAAATTATCTGCTTTCTTGTTATCAGCATTTTATATTATTGTTCAAAAGGTTGCAAAAAGCACTCATTGGCATGGTTTTGCTGTCTTCTGCACTTTTATTGGGTTTTCTGTGCATTAGAATATTTTTCCATTGCTTGGCCACGGCTCTGAGCTGGCTTCCTTGCTTAAAGTAGGTTAATAATGTTTATCTTTTTCTGTTTGTTTATGTTTTCTGATATCAACTGAACTTTTGTCATTAAGTGCTAGTTTACATGAACAGAGATGCATGCATGTGCTCCCATTTGGGTTAGGACTGTTCTTAGTTATGAAATTGAGTAATTGCAATTAATTTAACCTCTCTGCTTTTCTTCTTATACAGACAAATGTTATATACTACAGAGGCATTTGGCATGCTTTACAAACTATATGCAAAGAGGAGGGGGTTTTGGGCCTATACAAGGGACTTGGAGCGACACTTTTAGGTGTTGGACCTAGCATAGCTATTAGCTTTTCGGTATATGAGAGCTTGAGATCTTTCTGGCAGTCACAGAGGTGATTACTCTTGATCAATAAACTGTGCCTTCTTGTGATCATTATTTAATACATCATGCTTTTCTAAGCCCACTTTCTCTTTTTCATAATTAACTTTCTATCAGGCCCCATGATTCCACTGTTCTGGTCAGTCTATCTTGTGGCAGTCTTTCAGGCATTGCATCGTCAACAGGTGAGTGATCTTTAGACGAGCTGTATTGGAAACTTAATTGCAGTTTCCCAAAATCTGCTTGTGTTTTGTCGTCTTTTTTTTCTTTATTGTTCTTTTGGTTATTTATCATGTAAAGGAGAACTATATTCAATCTTGCAATTGAAATGGAGTATAACTATGAGTGTCCACTTTACTGCGTTGTTATGTTTTTCATGAATAGCTGTCTTTTAGGTAAATGTTTTGTCTATTTTCAGCTGTAGAAAACAGAGATATGGCTGATATCATTTTGTATAAATTGTTGCTTTAATACTTGTAAAGCATGGATTAAACGATTGCTGTAAGTGTACCAAAGCTTTAGCTACTCTATCAATTCTAAATTAACAGTGCTGTTTTGGCAGATGTTTTTGGTTGAAATACTTTCCTTTATTTGATCTAACAATGCCATTATCCAAGTGTAGAGGTTAATCCATTTAGCTGTTTATTATGCTTTTGATGCAGAGAAGCAGGCTGTGGTGCAGGCTCTGCATTAAGTATCTAAACCGATTGAACCCTAGAACCAGAGACCCAAACCGGAGTTGTTTTTTGTCTGGCATTTGAGAACTTTAGTAAGGAAGTCAACAAGAAATTTACCATTTTCTCTCATTCGTCTACCTTTATTTATTCTTATGTAAAAATCATTCTTGGATTAACTTCGCTCTACAACATTTCTTTCAACAACTTTTCTCCCCAAGGATTGCAGTTGGTTCCATAATAGGTTGGCTCTACTCTCAGGTGAACTAATACTGCTTCCTCAAGATATCAGTGTGAGAGGTATCCTCCTTGAGGTATGCTTCTCATTTAGGCTTCCTTGCCATTTCCTAATGGATCGGAGTCTTTCAGGCCTGGCTGGTGCAATTTTCCTGGAATTCTCCATCAATTTGCATCAGATGTGGAGTAAATTCAGCAATTATTTGCCTTCCATTCACTGAAGATAACTTAAGCCAGATGTTTTTACTAAAAAAATATTGATTCAAATGTGTGGACAAGGTCCACCTAATAATTTCTTACTTTCTATTAATGGAAGATAATTGGTGCTCCTCACTGAAGTTAAGTCACATAAGCCCTACACCTTGCAATTGTGGATGAGATTATGCACCTTTACTTGGTTTCTGCAACATTTGTGCTGTAGAGTTTAACTTTCATTCACTTAGGGTTCCTTGGGTAATAACCAGGTTTCTAGCTTTATAGCAAAGGTGATCTTGTTGGTCCTGTTTCAACTCTTGGGCCTTTCACTTGCTATAAACGGTCTGTAAGGTGTGATTGCACTAGTCAAAACCTGCATTGTTATCTAGATAGATTGCCAACAATTGTTCTTGTCGGCTCTCCTGGTAAGACATGATCAGCACAGCACAATTTCATCTCTTCTCTTTTTTCTGATTGAATGTGATATTATGGTTTATTAATCATCCCAATTTCTTTTATCTTGAACTAAAAATATTTATTAAATCAATGAATTATTGAGCTGCGAAGTTCAATCTTAAAATGTGATGTAGGAGCTCAACCATCAATTGCTTTCTCCTGGACATGACCCACCATTGAATTTTCACACCATACAAACTTTTCTCAAAGAGTGCGGTATAGTTTCGTGAACACATTTACTTGGATTTTATGGATTTGATGTTATAGATTCAACATCATTACTTACCGAGTCTTGGTGATGACCCTTGAGTTCATATTTTCTCGGTTGGCATGAAAGTATGTGTTGAAGGATTCTTTCAAATTTGTAGTTAAATCATAGTTTGTGGTAGCATGCTGTTTATTGATAGCTTGGATTGTTTACTTTAGCAGTTGAAACTAGTTTTCTAAGCATTAATCATGAAAATTTTGTTTCATCATGACCTTGAATATTTCTATACAATTAGGTTTAGTTGGTTTGTGTTTCTTAATACAGACTAATTTCTTTCTTTTTGTGCTTGGCGATATCTTCTTCCATGAATTAATGTGTTGGATAAAGCAATGGACGGCTCTTTTCATTTGTGTTCTGTATAAATGCAGCAATATTTCCTTTGGATCTCATTAGACGACGCAAACAGCTGGAGGGGGCTGGTGGACGAGCCCGAGTTTACACAACAGGGCTTTTTGGTACGTTTAAGCACATATTCCGGACTGAAGGCTTCCGTGGTTTATATAGAGGGATACTGCCTGAATATTACAAAGTGGTGCCAGGTGTTGGTATATGTTTCATGACCTATGAAACATTGAAGATGCTTTTAGCAGATGTTACCGCAAAATTATAGTTCATGATGGTATCTCGCTGGATGTTGGATCTGCAACTGAAATAATGGGTTGGTTAAAATTGGTTACGTGATAGCACACCACATTTAACTTTCATAGCTCTTCTTGCAGTGGCAAAATTTTGTGATGCTGCTGTGAGAGAGATATTTTTCCATGTAAATAGATGGATGGTGACATACATTTCATGTGTACTCGATGGCGTTGTCTGCATCCACAAGGATGCAATACCGATGGTGATCATTTTTAAGTTCCCTTTTCCAAGTGCAAGTTTTTACCATATTGTGTAGATCTCTGGCATATGTACTATACATTTATAACTTCAAATTTGAGTAATATTGTGCCTTCTCTAACAAATGTTAGGAGATTGTCTTTCCTTGTTTCATAAGCCCTTTGGAATTTTTGGTTTCCTGTAATCTTATAATCAGTGATCTTTGCAATTGCAGTTGCTGCCTTGATCTCTGTACTTGGATATGGTTTGCAAAGCTGGCTTCCTGATGTCGAAGACTGTTCATGAAGACGTCAGGACCGGCTTTTCTTTCTACCTTTCTTCTAATTATTTGTTGATATTTCCTAAATTTATAAGTTTAGAAGATTATCATTGTTGTGTACTTGGATGCATGTTGAATATCGTTTGTTTCCAAGGGCATCATGATTTTTTTGGGGGGGAGGTATTAGGAGTCAGAACAGAACTCCCCACAAATTCTTCTAACATCCCCCATTCCTCCATTAGTTTGCTTGAAGAATTATCAACAAAATAAGGATGCAGTTTTCTCAACAATTGTGCCGGGAGTGTTTGGGTAACATGCTGCCTTATGTCAGCTCACTTACAGGTTTACAAAGAGTTACTGTTCTTTTCCAGGAAGTGCAGAGCTATTGATTTTTTTGTGTTATCAGTGAAGGTTACAGTAAGGGACCAAAAGAAGAACTTCTCTTATTAAACAAACAATCAAACAAGTTATTATGAGCTTGACACATCATCTTAACCGCATGTTTGTCATGGTGACCCCATGAAAATTTTGGGGAGAAGAAGCTGTTTCAATCTTCTGTCATGACCTGAATACTTGTAACATAAGCACTGAATTTTTTTTTATCTTTCTTTTTCTTTTTCTTGATCAAGGTACAACTATGGGGGAAGGAGGGTAACAGGATCAGAGTTTTACAATGGGAAATTCCCTGTCAGGCGTATGTGGTCTAAGGTACGACGTAAACCATATTTATTGACAGCTGCATTGGCGGCTCTAAACCCTCCCCCATAGGCGGGGGAAGAATCATTGGCAATTTGGTGCATGAAAAACTCACCAAGCTTGTTTTCTACGTTAGACTTTCCTCCTTTCTTTGAGGATGAAGACGATGAAGAAGCTGCTGCTGATGAAGATGCCCTGTTGCTACTTGATCCTGGCAATACTTCAGATTCCAGCCACATGTATGATAGAACCTGGCAGATACCTTCCTCTACCTCGGGATTTAAATTTCGAAAACCTGCATTATTCGCGGAGAAAATGAACAAACAAAAAAAATTATAGAAGCATTGAGAAAATTTATCCAAGACTGAGGATTGATACACCTCTCTACCTTTGAGGCGTAACCAGCCATGCATTAATTCATGGGCGAGAATTGCCCCAGTTAGCAGTCTGCATTCCAGCAAAGATATCAAGTAAGAACTACTGTTTGAACTTTTAGAAGAAATAAATAAGCCTTGAAAAGTTCAGTTCAGCATGCAGTAGATTAACTGCAAACTATAGATCAGCTACAAATTAACTTGCTCTATCAAAATTCAAAGTTTGGAATAAGATTGAATCCATTTAACTAGAAATTGATCGTGAATACTCTAGAACATTTCAGACCACAAAGTACTGAACTAAGTATTTCTTTTTCTTCTAGAACTCGGAGTGGTTTCAGATATATCTGTTCAAGCTGGAAACATTAAACTAGATACAAAACCAACTTGGGAAATTGTCCTTTTCATGCCTCTTGTTCACATGTCTCTTTAAGACATGTTGCCTGGACATATGTATGCATTCCAATATTTATCATAGTCACTCCCTCACGTCTCAAACCATATTCTGAACAGGAAGCCAAATACTAGCAAAACAGTGCAGGAGTCATATTAACATGGGGAGCCCCTGTCATTTCGAATTATAATGCACTTGATTGCTTATTTGAAGTTCAAATGCAGGAAGTGTGATAATCACAGAATGCAAGATAATTTTAGTAAATAAGAAGCAAAGCCGGGATTTGAACCTGACCCACAAAACAAAGTGCAAGGGGAATAGAAGAAATGCCATCAGAATGTCATGTCAGAGTTTACCTTGGAAGACCATAAAGAACAAGAATGGCAGTAACTTCACATTTCCTCGTCAGCTTTTGAGGTTGAGTTCTCATTCCAATAAGTTGGCGGCCTCCAATTCGCGGTCTCTTTAGTATCTGAAATGAATAAAGTGAAGACAATGTTTAGTGAATTATCGTACTACAGTCAGACTTATCTCGATAAACAAAGCAAAACCATGCAATTAGTGCAGTTGACATACACTGGTGACAGTCTGCTCTTCAGAGAGACACAAACCCCTTGTCTCAGGCATGTGATGATATCCCTGGAAAGAACCAAACTGAATCAAGGCCGATCCATGAAACAAAAGCGTACAACAAAGAGCAAGAGTCCATATTTTACATTTTTCTCTCCAACAATGGCTTCATTAAGTGCTTGTCTTTCAACAAGAAGCATGGGCATTTGTTGGTCTAATTTCATGTTCATTCCTTCGTAATAGTCTCTGATGGCATGGTAAAGAGGCTGGCAATCACCAGTGTCCATGATTGCAGATTCCATGCACTCTAAGCATAGACTCCGTCCATCTTCCAGGGAATAGTATCTTACGTTCCAAGACTTCCGGAGGAAAATTTGAAGGAGAATGGGGTAAAGAAAGAAAACAGCAATAACCAACAGCAACAGTTGTTAGAAGAAAATGGAAGTTTAACACACATTTTGTTTCAATAGTATCAAACAATTCCTAGCAATGGCTTAAGTCCATACCTCCAGACGTTCACAGCTACAGCAGCGAGCTGTGTTATCATGCTCATGCGATGGACAATACTTTTGGGACCAAAAAGGATGGCATCTATACTCTATTAAATTATTTTCATTTGTGGGAATCTGAAATTCAGTGTGTGACGGAAAATAAGAACGTATTTATAGTACTAATAATTCAAATGATTTCATCAAGAAAGAAACACAAGTCATCTTTACCATTTTTAAAGTACCGATAATTCTGATAATAAAATTTATTCACAGAAAAATAAAGATGTAGATAAATTAAAGAAGCTAGAGTTATCTTACGAATTGGAGACAAACTTCACATTTGGGATGTGTCAACTCTTTGAAGCAAGTTTTGTGATATGGATCCCTCCCTGACAAAGAAAACTTGGATAGCAAGGAAAACCAAGTTTAGAGCATTATGCTTAATTTCTCTTGTAACTTTGACAATTTAAAGCTCAACTTGTTACAGTGAGAATATGAAAGCAGAAAGAAATTGGACTCTTGGGACCAAAGATGAATAAGACTACCTCATGCTCAGTGATTGGATAATTACAAGAATGGCAACGGAAGCAATTAGGATGAAAGTATACTCCCATGCATCCCAAATAATTGCCATAGCCAATGTCATAATGGCAGCCAGAACATACTCTGCAAGTCATAAGCATAAACATATATGAATAATAAATCAGATATGATTGTTTTTACTTTCTCTTCTTTCTTAAGATGGTATTAGCAAAGTCCTCCAGCAACTACAATATGAAGAGCTTGGAAGGAACTTGACTATGACCACTCCATGTACAACCCAACAATGGTTTTGATCAAACTGACTCTTACCTACTCCCAGCAGGATGATACTGCAACGTGCCATAAGGAGGACATGTTGATGAATTCATGCTACCATTATCGGCTGCCCTTGGTAAAGCTCCACCATAATTATCATCGGTCCACCATTCATTATAACCTGAAAACATCAAGACCGGAATCAGTAAGCATAGATCAAGAGATAAAAAGGGAGTAAAGGTTAATGAGGGTCGTGGAGGATCAACCCTTGTGAAGATGTTTGGACAATGCAAAAAACTTACCACTTGGTTTTCCCAAACCTTCAGACAAAGAAAGTGCCATTGCATGATCTAATTCCTCTTGCTCCTTTCTCAATCTAGGGCGACCATCCTAACGACATAAACCAAACAAGCTATCAAAATATGTTTCCCAACCTTGTAAGCAACACAGGAGCACATTGTTCTATCAGACAAGTTTACAAATTCAAATGACTAAGCCAACTTTTTTTTTCATGGCAACTAGCTCATGAAAAGAAATACATGATGGGATTTCTTCTTAAGCCTGTTTACTGTAGTAAAAATAACAATCCTGATTCCGCTATTCAGCCAAAGGAAACAGTAGCAATCCATGGAGAAAGATAGTGGCACAAAGAGAAACCATCATATTATGTGAAGACTAAGTTTTCTCTTTTTTCATAGAAAAGTTAATCCAATCTTTTCTTCGTATACTTAGAAAACTAACTTTTCTGTTAAAAAAATAAAATAAAGTTTTAAAGTTACCGGCATTCTAGCCGGAGCACGAACAACCATGTTTTCTTCCCCTAGATAATGTGGGTTATAGCCACCAGTTCCGCTACCGCCGCCACTACCGCCTCCTCGGCGACTACTTGTGCTGGTCTTGAAAAGCTTTCCCAGCCATTTCATAAGCCTTGATTTTCTCTCTGCGTATGAAGAAGCAAAGTCCCCTGCTTTCCATAAAAACTTCAATACATACAAACAAGGTATACTGAAAAAAATGAAATAAACCTCCACTGGATTCCTATATCAAAACATTTTAAACAGAAGGAAACAATGAACAGAGGAAAATAAATTCAAAAATAATACTTGAAAGGAGTGTTTATAGAAAAAAAAAAGGCCACCGTAATATTAAAAGAAAGAATTTTATCGTACACTGTTGGAAGTAAAACAGAGGAAAACAGAAGAACCAAAAAAACTCGACGAAATTGTTGCAGAGGAGCATACTGGATCATTGCCACTACTATAACAAAAAACATTATCAAAACAAATTTGGTTCAAAATGAGAAAACAGATTTATAGAAACATGAAAAATGGTTAAAAGGACAATTTTTATTGAAACAGAGGAAAACAGAATGAAAAGAAACTCGATAAAAGGTGATAGGATTACTCTAACAAACAGTTTTAGAGAGACGAAACGGAAAAAAAAACTTAGAAAAAAAAAGGGTAAGTGGAATTATAAGAAAAATTGTAGTCTACAACACATTTGAACTGAAACAGAGGGAAACAGAGAAAAAGAAAAAGACTATGAACGTACCGTAGATGCAAGGGTGAGAAAGATGGTTGACATTTGAGGGAGGAGGAGGAGGAGCCATGGTGGTGGAAGCGAAGGAATATATTTATTAACAATCGCCGGAATATATGGATGAAAACGACACCAAGAGGAGAAAGAATTGGAGGGGGAGAGAAAGCGAAGAGGGAGACAGAAAGAAGCATTGTTAAAAGAGGGGAGACAGAGATAGAGGGAAAGATAAAAAGAAGGAAGAAGAATCGGAAGGAGGGAATGTAAGCAAAGAGAAGAAGAGATTCTTGGCTTGAGAAAGTGGAAGGAATACTTGAGTAAAGGAAAGAAAAACCCAAAGATTAAAAAATTAAAATTTAATTAAAAAAATTAAAACTTTGTGGACGGTTTAGAATTTGCTCTGCCATGAAAGCAAAAGGCTTTTTATGTATCTGAGCTGGAGAAGGGAATTTATATAGCTTTCTAGATCGGGTGCTTTCAGCAGTTGTTCTTTCTTTTCCCCATGGTGGGAATATTATTTGAAGGAATTTTTGCTGAGAAAAAACAAAAACAAAAGGTAATGTTGGTTGAAATGACCATGGAATTCTCTTGATTTACTTGTTTGCCATTGTTGCTCGAGGGGGTTTGCTGTTTGGGAGGGTTCTGTTTTGATTCCTGCAAAGTCAGATAGGGGGGTTTTGATCTTTTGGATACTTTCTTTTGAGTTGTTGGAGAATGTTATGAACAACGACAGCTACATCAAAACATTCACATTGCTTTTCTCTTTCTTTTATCTTTAGTGGGCAACTAAGATTAATTAACAATAAAACATGAAAGTATTAATCATAAGAGCTCTTGGTAGCCACGAAAATGGTGGGGGTAAAAATGACAAACTAGAAGTTGGTGCCAGCTTGGTTGCTTTCCAGGTTCCCTACTTCGCATTGATCCTTGCAATCACCTTGTGAAAAGAAAAAACCAGAACAATCATTCACTCGAAGAAACTCAGCATCTGTTTTTTGCTTTGTTTACTTACCATTACTAGCTGGTACTTTATTGATTCAGATTCTACTTCCACTTGTTGCATGGTGGCACAGGTCCAGCAGCAGCACCAAAGCAAACGATAGGTTGCAGGTTGGTGTTATGTGCCACTCAAGACTTTGGATGCAGAGGGGAGCCATGAATTCAGATCGAGGGTCAAAGCAGACAATACTTTACAGGGTGTATAAGTTTCCACACCATTTTCAACATGCCTGAAGCCCATCGGGATCAAAACGCACAATATGTCGCAAGTTGGTATGATATGTCACGACCAATACGTTGTAAATTGATGCAATGTGTCACAATACGTTGCAGGTTGGCGTGTACGTTGTTGGTGTGATGTGAAACTAAGGACTCTGGATCCAAAAAAGAGTCATGAGGGTCAAAGCAGACAATGCACATGACACCAGAGTTTGTTTGACAATCTAGCAAAACATCATGATCAATTTTTCACTTTTTAACAGAATGCTGATTCTTGAACTGGGTGAGTAATGACATGATTCTGTAATTTGTTTAATCAGGCCATATGATGAAAGTACAACAGCATCAAAGATATTTTTTTAACTTCATTCGGATTATGGTGGCCTGCATATGATGAAGACATCAGCCTGAATATATTCTTTTGCTTGTTCCATAATTTTATCAGCCATTGCTTTTGGAGAAAAGGGAAGATTTATTATCTTAAACAAATATTGTTGCTTTAATATTCTGGGAAATGGAAGTCAGTTCCTTTCTTTCAATCTAAATAAACTTTTTTTGGGGATCATTTTAAATAAGCCATTGCTGTATTACTCTGCAAGAAGTACTTTAGATTTCTGCTACAGAATCATATTCCCTTGACAGAGTTTGCCATGTGGTCATCTGGAAAATACAAATGAGGATCTTTTTTTAAACAGGGAGATCTTCTTTTCTTTATTTATCTTTGGAAAGGCTAATGATGTCGCCATTTGTGGATATGAATACACTTCCAAAAAGATTCGTTTTCAGTTAAATTTATCTTAGGAAAGATGGCCAAAATCAGGGAAAGCATTGTCGGGAACAGACTTTGTAAGCATGTTTGCATCAGCAATTCAGCATGAACCGGAACAGGATGTTTAACAAAGAAGCAACTGTTTTTCCAGGGAAAAGTAACTGCAGAAAAGGGAAAAAATGGTTTCTGTCAAAAGGGTATATTTCTTCAATACTTGAACCAGTTTATCATTTTGAGTTACAGGAAGTTCTAGTACCATGAATTTACCTGCAAACTATACTGCTTCAACTCTTTTTTTTTTTCTACCTGAAATATCACTGTTTGATTCTTGAACATGGGTTGTGGCCAAAAGGGTATGGCTGTGTAACCTTTCAAAATTCAAGAGAAAACCTAGAAAAGTTTGAGCCAACGGTGTGGAACATCCACAAATAGAATTAAGGAAAACAAAAGAGAAGAACATGGGAAGGTTCCCCCAGAAATAACCTGCTATTGGGATACCGAATTGATCTTTTGTCCACTTCTTTCACTGTTTAACAGATGACTAATTAAGGGTATATTTTTCCTTTTTGGAATTGGAACGTCCACGTTGTTTTGTTGCAAGTTTCAATTCTTGAATCTCAGAGGGCATTAATCCCACTACCAAAGTTCTTTCATGATATTGAGGAGATCAGAGAAATGAAAATGCCATTAGAGAGGTTGACTAATTACGTAGTTCAATATTGGTCCCAATTTGCCTTTAAGGTTTAAGATTCTGTTCTTGTTATTGTTAAGCGTCTGGATAATTGCTGTCTTAGTTCTGTTGTTCTTGGCCCAGTTTCCTCCATGTTCCATACCATAAATTCTAATCAGAAAAACTCCATCACTGGTGAGAATCCGCTCTTCAGAAAAACAAACCCTTTGTGTCAGGCAAGATACTATATATCTGAAATGTACCCCCAACTCAACCAGCATCCATGACAGCAGATTCCATGCACTCTCCCAGTGTGAACAGTGTCTCTAATTGCAAGTCTTTAAGAGGGACGTTTATACCAAAGGGAGCAGGAAAAATAACAGTCAACTTTAGAAACCATCCTTATAGCAGAAATTGAACTTCCAAACTCATCATTGTAGTTTTATATGATACCAAGAAGATGAGAAATTAGACATTTTAAGGCCAGGGGCTAAGGTCCATACCTCCAACTGCTCACAGCTACAGTACCAAGCTGTGTTATCAATGCCACTCGATCTCGATAAAACATAGAGCATGCTGATTGACTATTGAATATGCCTTGTTATCATACTCGACAGTGTTTCTGTTTGATTGAATGGTCATCATAATTGAACCCACATCTTGTCTCAAAGACTTCTGTCCTCTATACACACATGGGGAAGATGTCTCAAAGGAGACAGACAATCAAACCCAAACACCTTTTCCAACCAACATGACTCTCCAAGACTACCTTTTGACTGTTCATAGAAATCATGAACTTTTGCACAATTCAGAGCATTTTTTAGCCTACCCAAAAGTACAGATTACCAGACCTCTAGATCCAATGTGTTGTCTGAGTAAGATAATTTATTGTATTTCGGAAGCATACAAATTATGCCTATTCATTTTTGGACTTCCACTTATTTACCATATTATACCCAAAATTTGTCATTGATCATTGAATAATCATTATTAGACAAACTTTTAGATTTTAAGTGGCTTTAAATTACTTGTAGAATCATATTCCTTTGACAGAGTTTTCCATGTTTTGTCACTAGAAAAACACAATGGGATTCTTTAACAGGGAGTTTTCTTTTGTTAATTTACATTAAATTTTGTTCTTGTATACAGCAATGTCACAGGCTTGCATGTACCAACCTGGACAGGACATTTCTAGCATGCATACTAGGGAAAAAGAACATGATTTTCCAGGGAAAAAAAAGAGAAGAATGAATCCTCATTTGCTTTAGTCAGTAGTATGCTCCCCAATCCCCACATTGCTGATACAATTTCGAATTCCTTGAACTCACCCAGATCAGGGACAGATCAAGCCCTCAAGATTCCGCCAGGCAAGAACATTTTCCTTGCATATTTAAAAATAAAAAAAGAAAAGGAATGGGAAAGTATAATCTTATCTGCTGTATTGTCTCCCAACAGATGATGAATACATCTTTCCTTCCTGTTAGTGGAACATCCACATCATTCTGTTGCAGGTTTGCAGAATTTCTTGAATCTCAAAGAACAATTTGCCACTATGGGAATTCTTTGCACTGAATTGCAGAGATATGCTTTAGCAAACCCAAAAAGGGTTTCATGATATTTCATTGGTTGATAGTCAAACCTCAGACATATGTTTATCCATTTTAAATACCAAGAAATGCAAAGAAAATAACCCAGAAACTGAATTTACATTATTGTCTTTGACAGCAATGCGACACTTTGGCATTACTTATTAGTGCTAACATTGACTGAAAGTAGTGGCCAGCTTTCATTGCTCGACAAGGGAAAAAAAAACAAAGTAAAGGAAAGAAAATTCCACCCACCTCCACTAATGCTCTAACCACCAATTGGTGTTCTAAAAATGGCATGGCTGCCTTCTTTTTGCCCTTTCATTGGTTCTTTTCTTGTGTTAATCTCTTTTGTAACAGTAATTAACAGTAAGATAATGGACTGTCGGTAGAGAGTGTCATCTCTGAAATGTGAATCGATACAAGTTTCAAAATCTTTGAATATGGTCGGTATATTTAATTGATTATAGTGTATAAATTCTATATATGGATATGGTCGGATTGATAGGTGATTTTAAACTCGAACCAAAGGGTATCTGCCGGTTAATACACCGATCTCAACGTTAAACAGTTAAATATATTTGATTTATTAATAATGTATACAATTTATACATTAAACATTTAAATGGACATGATCGGATTAATAGGTGAATCAAACTCGAACCAAAGCCCACGTGGCTGGCAATGAACCGGTCAGAACGTCAAACGGTCTAAAACACGACAGGCCTTTTCCAAAACGACAGCGTTTCATGAACCCGCCCTTTGGGAAAAGAGAAGAGATGAAAGATATTATAGGTCCCTTGCGTCACCTAGGAGTTGCTGCCGTCTCCTTTCTTCTTCTTCCCCAAAATTCTAAACACTTTCTCTCTCTTCAGGAGAAAAAATAAATTATTTTTTAAGTATTATTTTATTTTCACTTATTTTCCCACTCTTTTTCTCAGACAAATTGTTTTTTTTTTTCAAATTTATTTTCTCTAAGATACCATTTCCGAACCCAGAAAAGGACCTCAAAAGCCTCTTCCACTGACAAAAAAAGGGGTCTTTTCCTTTTTTTTTTTTGCATTTTTTAGTTTTTAGGGTTTGGTTAAATCAGGGCCGCTGAAGGAGGAGGATCTAATGGCGGCGGCGACGACGGCACAAGGGCAAACGGTGATGATGGACCCCACGGTACTAGATGATATAATCAGACGGTTGACAGAAGTCCGATCAGCAAGGCCAGGGAAACAAGTGCAACTATCTGAAACCGAGATCAAGCAGCTTTGTGTAGCTTCCAGGGATATCTTCCTTCAACAGCCCAATTTGCTTGAACTCGAAGCACCCATCAAAATTTGCGGTAAATTTTTGGGTTTTGTGGGGTTAAAGTTTTGTTTTTTGATAATAAACTTGAGCTTTTTTTTTTTTTGAGTTTGTTATGTGGAAACATAGAGTGGGTTTTGAAGGAAAGTTCGGTTTTAATAAGTATTTAGGGAAAACCCATGTGGATAAATAGGCTGTAGGAGGGTAGGAAAGGTTGCATTCTTTTAACAGTGACATAGTGTTTGCGGAATAAGATTCTTTTATTTAAATGGGGTTTCGATAGTTGATATTTCGAACCAGATGGAGGTGAATTTAACCTTTCTTTCTAAAAACCCAATTTACCTTTTCTTTTCGCGGAGAGAGGGGGGAGGGGAGTGGTGTTATTGGGTTGCTGTAGTTTTTTTTTACTGTTTGATTGCTGAAACTCAATGGACTGAAACATGGATAGACTTCATATTGGACTCTTTTATCTTTCTACCATCACTGTCCTGTATTATGTTTTTTTCATCTGATTGTAAAGTTATTGTGTTGTTTTTAGTGACATACATGGACAATATAGTGATTTATTGAGGCTCTTCGAGTATGGGGGTTTTCCTCCGAATGCCAATTATCTATTTCTAGGTGATTATGTGGATCGTGGCAAGCAGAGTTTGGAAACAATATGTCTTCTACTTGCTTATAAGATTAAGTATCAGAGAACTTTTTCCTATTGCGAGGAAACCATGAGGTGTGCATCTATTAATCGGATATATGGATTTTATGACGAATGCAAACGACGGTTTAATGTGAGACTTTGGAAAAGCTTTACTGATTGTTTTAACTGCCTTCCTGTGGCGGCACTTATAGATGACAAAAAATTTGTGTATGCATGGTGGTCTTTCCCCTGACTTGACAAACTTGGATCAAATTAGAAGCTTATCTCGTCCAACTGCTGTTCCTGACACTGGTTTGCTGTGTGATTTGCTCTGGTCTGACCCTGGTAGAGATGTTAAAGGATGGGGAATGAATGACAGAGGAGTTTCATTCACTTTTGGTGCGGACAAAGTGTCAGAATTCTTAACGAAGCATGATCTAGATCTTGTCTGCCGTGCGCATCAGGTTATTGACTTCACTAGACTTTCCTTCTCTTCTATTTATTGCTGTTCTATGTTAATGCTGACAAGTTGGTGCAGGTTGTGGAGGATGGTTACGAATTCTTTGCTGATAGGCAACTTGTTACAATATTTTCAGCACCTAACTATTGTGGCGAATTTGATAATGCTGGTGCAATGATGAGCGTCGATGAAAACCTGATGTGTTCTTTCCAGATTCTCAAGCCAGCAGAGAAAAAAGCAAAGTTCTTGTCCACTAAAATGTGATAGTTGCAGCTATCAATGTATAATGGCTTACAAGTCTTTACCAAGGTCAGCTAAATACTGTTGTTATTTTGTTCCTCTTTTTTATTATTGATGATTGTATGAGTCCTGGGTTGCCAGTGTTCCTGCTCAGCAGTGCATACGGATAAAGTATATTGACTTCCATGACTTTGCTCTAGCCTCTAGGGTCCAGGAATATGTGGCTGTGATTGTAGGAATAAATTAATTTAATGACTTAAGCTGACCAAATGCTTTTAATGTATGTCTTATTGTCTGGTAGTTGCGTCATACAGGTATACCATGGCAGAGATCTGCCATGAGTACATAATGTCCTTAGTGATTACTGTTGTTACTGCCCTCTGGGTTTACTTTTCAAAGTTTTCAGCATTTCAGGGTGTCAAATGCAGTCTGAATATGATTTGGTATTAATACAAAATTTTTAACTGTAACCTTTTGGCTTTTGGGTGGAAATAATGTGCAGTCATTATCAGAATGAGCATTATCATAAAGCTCCATTTGTAAAGGCAGTCATATAATGCCCATAATTGCATTTGATGATCCAGGTTCATGAACAAAAGAAAATGCCTTCTCAGATATAACTAGCTCTCTCTTAAGATGTAGCCTGAAGGTTGTCTGGATCACATGAAAGTAGAGAATGTTCAAAAGTAAAAAAGGGCTGGTAATAAAGAAGAACGGAAATGATTATCTTTCTATGGTTTAATTTCGTGATCAGGCCTCCCATCCTCAGTATCCTCTTGCCCCTTTTTGTCTCCTTCAGTATCTTCCTCGTTTATCTGTTGTGAGAATACTGGTGATTGGTAATGGGGCTTTTGTTATGTTATTGTCAGAAGGCCAAATTTCAGAATAATGGATCTTTTTCTCTTTACAGTTAGTTATTCATCTGGTTTAGTAAATGACATACCAACCATCAGTGCTACTTTGTAAGATTTACTGTTTCTCTTTGTCTCTAATGCAGATATCCTTTTTATTTAGGTCCCAAAAATGGTTAAAACTGAAGATTGCTGGCTTCAGAACTGTAGCTAGAGGAGATGCAAGTGACGGCTTCATGCATACTGTCTGTAGGGCAACAAGATGTACAAGTCTGGTTTGAGCAATAGCTATTGTGTAGGGTAGCACAAGCCAGAAGTGTTTTTTCTCTTTTTATTCTTATTTCTCCCCCCTCACTGTTTATCTTTTCTTTATAGCAGTTAAATCTGCGGTGCACGTGTAGATATATCTGGTCTGGCAACTCATACTTGTGCTTGAGTTGTTGGATCATAAAAAATGGCCGCCTCCGTCTTCTAAAGATTTTTGGTTTTTCCCAGACTACTCACTGATTGAGCTGTTTGTATGGATGAAACTAGGTGCATTCAAATTTTATAAGATGGTTAATTGCAATTAAGGGTCTCTATTGTTCACATTGTGTTGTGAAGATTTGCCTTCTGGTATATCAATGGGAAATGCTTTAAGTGATAGCATCCTCAATTCCTTTAGTTGACAGCTAATGCTTTGGAGTGCAGCATTGCACATTGCAGATTGAGATTGCTTTCAGCACCATTGATTTTGTCTGGTTGTTAGTGTCAATGGGTAGTCTCCAAAGTTTGATGTCTTCATATTTATTGGTCTGAAGAACAGATTCAAGTGTTGGATGGTCTCCCTATGAATGAGTAAGAAACAGATTGTTTTTGCATCCTTCGATTTGATCCAATTCTAGAAGGCCGGTTTCTTTTGTCTGATAGAAGCTTTGCTATTGACAACAAAGACCCAGCTAAGGAATTGAACGCAAAATTTATCATGCAAGAGTCACACAGCTCTCTGTTATAGGCTTCTAGGTCTTCTGTTCTTCCTTTCTCATTTGATTGTCAGAACTTCTTTTTCCCTTAAATAACCTTACAACTCAAAAATTTTACCGTTCTCGATATTTAGTGTGTAAATTATGAGTTCAAAAGTACTCTCTTAATTATCTTATGTAAAATTTTGTAATATTATAAATTTTTTTAAAAGATAATTTAATGCAAGATATAATTAAAATATATAAAAAAAATCTCACTTAATAATAAATATGATTATAAAATTTAAAAAATTTATCATCCATCCATATACATAACGATGCAAAAGAGGGAAAAAAAGAATATTTTAAAAAAAGGATAAAATTAAAAGCCTACATTTTCTCTTTAAAATGTATTCGAAATAATACAAAATATTACGAAAATAAAAGAAAAAGGGGAAAAGGACTAATAATTACAATTGCGTACAAAGGCGCCCACTTCCATCATTTCTACACTCAATTTAAATTTTGTTCGCTCTCCCCTCTCTTCTTTTTCTACTTTTCCCGTAGGGTTTACTCAACACTTTCCGAATTAATTTTTATTAATTTCCTCATTTCTCATTTCGCTTTTAAATTTTAACTACCCGATAAATTTTCCTGAAAAAGAAATTCTTCCGTTTTTTTGAGATTTTTTTTTACATTAATAGGATTTTAATGAATCTACCGGATCCGTCGATGGAGTTACTGGCAGCGAGCGGCGGTGACACCGTGAAGATCTTTGACATTAAGCTCGAACCGAACGATCCTTGCGTTTTAAGTTACTCGCCTTCTCCGAGTTGCCTTGTCAACTCGGTTAAGTGGAACCACACTAGTAAGCTCTCTCTCTCTCTCTTTTCTTTTATTTTTAAAAAGAGATTTTTTGTTTCGGCTTCTGTTGCTACGATCTGTTCGGTTGCTGAAATGTGGTGGCTTTTATCTAATCTTTTATTTTTTTTAAAAAAAATTTGTATTATGAAATGAATAATTTATTGAATTTAACTGAATAAGTTCTTATTTTAAGTCAATTAAGTGAATTTTTAAAGTTTTTAAACTTTATTTAAGATTTTATTTTAAATTAATTTAGCAATTATGCAGAGAATTTCAGTTTGTCTTTTTTTTTATATATATATATAAATTTGTTGAATTGATTCCAGCTGGGTTGATGTTGTGGCAGATTTAGTGGTGGCGAGTGCCGGAGAAGATAAGAAGATATCGTTATGGCGGAAAAATGGGCAGAGTATGGGGACAGTTCCGGTTGCTGGGACAGATAGTGGAGATAACATTGAGGTAATCCTCCTCTAGCTTTAATGCATTGTTAACTATAAACAAAAACTGTTGAATCTTATTGAAGTACTTGTAGTTTGATAGGTTGCAGCATAAATTTTTCGATTGGGATACAATGTTTATTTCCAGGTAGATCATGTACGCTAAATTTCACGTTGGTTTTTTTGTCTCTAACTATATTATCGACACCATAAGATTTTTAAATGCAAATGAATAAATGACTTAATTAATATTGTGAACGAAGCTCAGAATAGATTACTGAGTCATGTAGTAAATTGGGTCCATTATGAACATGAGAGAGTTGTGTAAGAGTTGCTTGTTCTTGCATTTTGTGTAAGTTTGTCCTTTATCATTATTATGTGTGTGCCGCATACTATTGTCTTTGGTCTAGAAGCATAGTGAGCAAAATATCATTGTTTCTCTTCAATAACGTTGGTGGCTATCTTTATATAGGACCCTATATTCTAGCATCAATGTTAAGACATAGCAAGAAAGGAGGATACAGCTTAAATAACATGGAGGGACAAGGTTGCTTGAGATAACTCATGCTTTGCATGGCAACAGAGTGATGTCTATTTCCTCAATCAGATGCTATCATGTTTTATGCAAAAAAAAAAAAGGAACACACTTTTTTCCATATGGTTTTATTGGAATAACTGAAACCCTCAAGTTTTTATGACTTGATGCCCCAAAATTGGTTATACATTAAGCCAATCCTTAATTGTTTTAAAGGCACTTAACGTTTATCAATTATTGGCGTGGGCTTTCTTAGTCAAATTTATTTAGTAAACTTTCTCTTATATCTGCAGGAGTCTATTTTAGCTATTAGCTTTAGCAACAAGGGATCCAGATACATATGTTCAGGGGGAAGTGCTCAAGTTGTAAGAATATGGGATTTGCAGAGGAAGCGTTGCATTAAATGGTTGAGGGGTCATACCAGCACAATAACAGGTGTAATGTACAACTGCAAAGATGAACACTTGGCCTCCATCAGCCTAAGTGGGGATCTCATTCTTCACAACCTTGCATCTGGAGCAAGGGCTGCTGAACTGAAAGATCCTAATGAACAGGTTGTTTAGTTTGTTGCATTTAGGTGCTTATGTTAATTTTCTAATTCTTGTTTGCAAGCTAATTTTCTTTTGATGGATTTTAAGACCAGGTACTGAGGGTACTTGATTATTCGCGGATTAGTCGACACGTTTTGGTGACTGCAGGTGATGATGGATCTATCCATTTGTGGGATACCACTGGTCGCAGCCCAAAGGTTCTCTCTCTCTCTCTCTCTCTCTTAATGTTCTTGCTATTTTAAACACATAATTAATTCCATTTGTCTTTTACAGGTTTCCTGGTTGAAGCAGCACTCTGCTCCCACAGCTGGCATTAGCTTCTCACCATCAAACGATAAGGTCTCATTACTTCTTTTTTATCCTCTTCTTCTCCTTTCAAGCGTAATCTAATGAATAGGCTGAGTTCTTTTGGAAGTTTGGGATGAAGGAAGCTTTTTCATGGTTAAGACATCTTGCAAAAATTTGTTAAATGTTCCGATGCTTCAAGTTTCTTTTTCCTTTTTGACAGATAATTGCTAGTGTTGGGTTAGATAAGAAGCTATACACTTATGACTCAGGGTCTAGAAGACCCTCAGCTTTCATTTCTCATGAGGCGCCTTTCTCTTCATTGGCATTTAGAGATGATGGTTGGACATTGGCAGCTGGCACCAGTAATGGTAGAGTGGTATTCTTCGATATTCGGGGAAAACTACAACCTTTTACTGTTCTTCGTGCATATAGTAGTTCAGAGGTGGGTCCTATTTTCCTCTATTTATTTCTTTTTAATATGAAAAGGCCTAGACCATAATAATTTCTTGTAGTTTGCACTCTCTTCCAAATTCGATTTTTTCCATAAGAATCTAAACTTGATTTAGATGTATACAAGACTGTGCTCTATAATGACTTTAGTGATGTCCCATGGGCTGTCACTGCTTGCTTGTTTGTTTGTGCTCCAACTTCGAAGAGTTTTGTATAAATGGGACAGAATAATGATAAATATTACTGTTAGGTTGCATTTGAAAGCTAAGAAACTTGATTCCTTTAATCATTTAAAATACTAAATGTTTATAGCATCCGTCAGGCTGTTTCAAGTTTATGCTGGCAAAGATCAAAACCAGCCATTGTTAATGAGAGTACTTGCACTGCTGAGACTGCTCTTTTGGGAGGTGCAGTGGAAGATTCAGTTCTTATGCCTGACCCCCTTCCATCTATGACATCATCAAGCCTTTCACTATCAACTGCAATTCCTGGTTCTCGTATCACTGGCCGTTCAGGTCCAGCAGAAGTACCGTCTCTAACTAGTAGTAGTGGATCAGTGTCAAGCACACTCAATCTGTCTTCTTCTGAGGAAACACCGCATAGAAGCCATCTGTGGCCAGGTGGAGCACTGACAAGATTACATGCTCCTCGTTCTACGTACAATTTTAAGGATGATATGGAGGTGTTTTCCCCTCTTGTCGATGTTCAACCAATCACACCCTCGCTGGATAAGCTGTGGGATGATCATGAGGGTGCAAAGAAAGAGCATCTACTCACTGATAAGAAGCCTTCTTCCCTACTGTTTCCTTCCAGCAGGAGGTTTGCTTTTGCGGATGATGGAGCAAGTGATCACCCAATATTTGATTGGAAGTCCAGTTCAATGTCTCGACAGGTTTTACGCTTTTTCATCTTTTATATAGAATTACTGCACTGCATGGCATATTTATTTTGATTTTTCTAAATAGGATTTTACTTTAAATCTTCGTGGTAATGAAGTTCTAATTTGGTGTTAGTATACTAGTTAGTCCTTATTTTTGCATAGAATGTGAATGTGGTGTTCATTTGTGCATTATGTTGTATGTTTGGAGCATTATGAGTGTTTGTCAACAAATCCAATAGATCAACCGTGTCTTACTACATGCTAGCAAATTGGCTTTGCATGTTTAGAGGATTTCTTAGATATAAAATTGCTGACAACTTGTTATTATGTGCAGTGAGCTCTACTTTCTGACAATATTCATTTCTCTTAATCAGTTACATAGTCATGACTTTGATTTTCTATTGTCTCCTACTTTCTTTAGCTGTAGAACTATTACTGATACGTAATTTGGTTTTCCTGGTGAAGTTGATATACTTTGTTCCAAATAATGATGTTAGTATACCACTATTTGTGCAGGATGGCACAAGATCTTTTACAGCATTGGGATCTACGCCTACGCCATCTTCCAAGAGTGAAGAGGCCTCCATCACTCCTCCTGAAGCTTGGGGTGGTGAGAAGATATCTGATAAATTTACCCACCTACGTCAGCTGCCATCTCGTTTTGGGATGCAGGCTTCTGGCGGTCTGACATCAGGCTCTATTTATTCTGGACAAGATCAGTGTTCAACACTCAGTCAGACAAGTATTAGCTCGTTAACAAGTTCTAACCTGAGCTATGAAAACTTGCGCACAAAAGATGTCTCCTCAAATGAGGAGACTTCATTGGGATTTCCAGAACACTTCTCCTCCAGCTCCATGTCTTCTTTGTCTCTAGGTTCAAAAGGCATTAGTGGAGCAGGCAACCTTGACTCACCAAAATTAGCATCTGTAGGACTGCCGCGAAGGTTTTCAACATATGCCGAGAGAATTAGTACTACATCTGCCTTCAGTGATGGAACATCTCATTTGGTGGCTTCTCCAAAAACAAAGAAAACAGGAGCTGAAACCAGAGAAGAGCTGTTGAATAGCTTGTTGTCGAGGTCTGATTCATTGGCTGCAGTGGAATCGGGAATTCTGCCGGCTATGAATGTATGAAGCCTGGTTTGGTTAATAATTGTTGGTTTCAATCTTAATTTCTCATATGATAGTTTGCTTTTAGAGTGGAGGTCTAGCTTGAGTAATCTTCCTGCTTGGTCATCAGGATGGTTTCACTGCTTGAAATTTTCTGCTGTCATTTACATTTGAAATCGTGAAGACATCCATGAAAAAGCATTTTTATGTTTTTCTATGATTTCGTAGTTCTCTTTATTTATGATGGTTCATTGATTCTGTCTCTGATAGGGAGGAACATTACAACCCCACAAGGCTCCTTAACCAGATCCCCAGCAAGGAAGTAACCTTCCTCTTCAGCTATTTCAACTTACTCTTGAAAAAACCCTTGATTCATTTCAGAAATCCATTCATGGAGATATGAGGAACCTTCATATTGAAAACATGCAGGAGGTATCTGCCTATTTTCTCTTTCCATATTGCTCTGGCTTCGCGTGAATATTCTCAGCTCTAATTTGTGGGCACATTTGACAGATGGAAATGTCCCGTGTGATGAGCTCCATTCTAGAGAACCAAGCAGAGCTGATGAAAGAGGTTCAATCTCTCCGGAAAGAAAATCAGCAGCTTCGTCAATTGCTTTGAGCAACGACTAAATAGCATTACTGTGTTCGGTTAGCCAATGTCTCTTTTGATCTCCTCACTGTTTCATTTTTTATGATTTATGCTTCATCGGTAGGCTTGTCTCATGTTAAAGTAATATTGCTTCTTTAGCAATTGTTTGTGCAGAAATGTGTAAAATATCACAAAAAACAGAACAAATATGAGGCTAAGAGATTGGTCTTTGAAACATGTATAGAAATGGTTCTCAGTTGATTGAAAAATGAAGCTTCTAATTTCTAACAGAGTTGTCTCTGTACATCGAGTTCCCTGTTTCAACTTGCATGATAGATTGCATAAATTTTACATGAATGTCTGCTTATGCTTTTTTCCTTTTTATCAATATCGTCAAATATTTAACATAATTTAAGCAGCATTTTAGATAATTAAAGAAGCAGAAAAGGAGAGACTGTTCCTATATGTTATCTGATAAGCTAAGAACCCTATATCTAACAAGAAAAGAGTTAACAAGCATCTACTTTCTCCAAGCCCTCTTGCTGTGTCATTGAGAGTGGAACAAATTCAAAGCAGCAAATTTACAAAAATATTGTTGAATAAATGCGAGAGAACTTGGGATTTGGGTTAAAAATCCCAGAAATTGCAACCTTTGAATTACTATTTTCCACCATTAGAATCCTGTCCTTGTGAAGAGGAATGAACAAAGGACAGAGCTTTGAGCTCTAGGAGAATTCAAAGAATAACAAGCCATCGTTCACATAGATGATAGGACACCAATGAGATTCATAGGATTATACAAATAAGATGAACAAAGACAACAAACCACACAACAAAAGAACAACTACAAATTCAAATAAAAGACATGGAATACAGATTGTCACAATTTATTCACAGTGCGAAAATAAACGAAAACATCGCAAAGAAAACAGGAAGACAATTACAGTGGTGCTGCCTTGCAACAAATTAATGCCCAAATCACATGGAAAGATAGCCATTTGAGAGCTGATTGCTCATAAAATATTTTCATGTTTATTGTCTTAAGATAATAATAGTTAAAGGAATGTAATAGATAATTTAACAAATAATAACGAAAACAACAAACGAACTCTCATAAAAGGGTAGAATCAAATGAAAAGAGAAGAGATTTATAGTAGAAATAACAAACTCACCACAACTCATTTGAGCAAAGGATGATGCTTTCTGTGTTTGCCAACATTAGACATTCAGTTCAGTTCCTACATTATTTGGATGGAGAGTACATGCTGCACTTTATAAAAATCCTCTCCTTTTCTTCCGTCTATATCTTGAATCCTCTCTATCAATGATCTGTTCATCCCTTCTAATTTCATTTGCTGATGAGTAGTGGTATACCTCAACCCTTCTGGAACCATCTTCAAGCCAGCAACATCAGTCAAATTTAAACTACGTAGACATGGCATTGCCCCTTGTTCTATTTGCCACTCTGCTAAATTTGATCTATAGATATCAAGAGAATCAAGTTGAGGAAACCCATTAGCAGAGCAAGATATTGTAGTGCCTGTATATGATAAAGACTCAAATGCAGAGAATTCTCAAATGAGGTAGCTTTTCTAGTACAGGCATTGGATCCTCATTACTATGCGAGCGGCACAAGGTTAACTTGCAAATGTTTGTTGGAAGAAATTTCAAAACATGGTGGCTCGATTCTGGGTCTTCTGCTATCCTCCTTCGTAACAATAGTTTGGAGAGGTGGTGGCATTGAGAAAGCTGCTCCTATTCTGGAAATGGAGTCGATCTCACCAACTCCATGTGCAATGACCGAAGGCTGTCTAATCCAAAACTAGGGGATCTTAGGATAGCCTCCACATCTCCTGATCTCGTAAACTGTATTCCTAAACTCCGAATATTTGTCAACTTGAGCAATGCATTGTTTTTGGTCAAATCCTCAACCCTTATGTACTTCATAGTTTCAATATTTTCCAAAGTGTTTACTTGGCAAAACCCTTTTATTTTATGAAACCTTTTCAATCCATACCATCTTATCACTTTGATAGAGTTTCACTAGTATTAGACTTTTGTTTAGGGATTTATCCAGAACTCTGTTTGTTTTTGAGATTATTCGTGTTGAGATGCTGCCAAGTATTCCTTGAGCAACTGCTCCTTTTGTAATTGTTCAGAACAAGCTCTTCTCATGATAGCTTCCATGCCAACAGGAATCTCCAAATCTCAACGTTGAAGACTCCCCACGACATTCCAGTTTATCATTAATAAAAACTCATTTTTCAAAAAAAAAAAAAAGAACGTGGCAAGACCACTTCATCACTTTGAAAACCCAAATACCTTAAATGACACAGATTACCAATTTGATTTGGTATAATCCATGAACTATCCTTTTTCTAGAGTTTCGACACTCTTAGGAATCTGAAATGATTGCATTTTGATATGTGTAGCCTTACCAATTTCTCATCTTGAAAGAGGAAAAGAGAATGCAAGTTCAGACATTCTCCTTTCAAAGAAACATACCTTTTACCGGGATGAACAACGATTCTACTTGCCTTAGATAGTGCCTCCACAGTTAGATGAAGAGAATGATTCTTGTTTCCATTCATTGGTGGCTGAACAATTCCAAAGAAATTTTAGCTTTTGACACGCACAAGTCTCTTAAAAGATCGTGAATACGACATGTCTTCACACCTACCCTTGTATGATCCCTTCTACTAACTTGAACCAAACATCTGTTTGTTAGCTTTTCTAGGTATTGTTCAGCCACATCCTCCAACATTTCTCCTCCTTCTGGTGATGGAGAAATAAAACCTTCAGCAATCCAAAGTCTAATTAATTCCTTCTTTGAAATCTCTGAATCTTCTGGATAATGACCAAGATAT